AATAATAGTTAGCTATCAAAAGTTTTTTTTTTCAGAATTTGAAGAGTTTTGGGTTGAATATAATTACAGACAAAGAAGTTTTTTCATCTTAAATGCAAAATGTAAATATTTTTTGTACAATGTTGGCTTCATATCTGCTCTGACTGTTGCTCTTTCAGCAACTGGCCATTTTTAGAGTCTGTATACTCTAGTTAACAATTAATCAATTTCTAAATTACTTGACAATTATTTCAATAAATTCATAATTGGCTGAAACATAGGAAAATATTTGTTTCGACCCATTATTTAATGTGAAACCGGCACAGACAGACTTACTTTGATAGAGATTGTAGGATAGAAACTGATTTCTGAACATCTGGTAGAGGTCGCCATCAGGCCTGCGAACAAAGGTCACACCAGGTGAGAGAGGTGATGAGGTTTGTTTCATTGCGAACTGTGGGGGACAGGTCTGAGTGCAGATCTGGTCTTACCAAGTCAGCATGACTCCAGACAAGAAGGTTGACACGTAGTGATGGAAAACCCACCAACCTTTGATCCTGAAACAGCAAAAGATGCTCAGTGGTGGCAAAAAGTTTTCCTTCCCTCAATACTTTTTGCATTGTGTTGATTGCCAATCCTTGCAAAATCGCTCAAATTTGTTCTAAGACATGAACACGCTTTAACCCAAACCAAACGTCTCTCAACTTTTTGTCGAGTCAGAAGGAGATAAGGGTCAAAGAAAAAAGCTTTTTTTTTTTACCGAGTCAACAATAAACTAAGCATGCAATATATTAATTAAAAAAACATTAATTAAAAGAAGCTCCTGTTCCTTGCTGAACAGTTACTTATCAGTTTGATCTTATTTCAGGTATCCAAAGATATTTGTATGATAAACTAGGATAAAAATACTTGTGTTTTCATTAGCTGACTATGTTCACTGATTAGGTGAAAATTTCTCATTTAATTTGAAAAAAAAAAAAAAACCTTTCAGAATATAAATCCATTTTCCAGTCAGTAGGTATTTATGCACTATTTACTGACAAAAAAGTAAAACCACCTCTTACTCACAGGTAAAAGAAGGGTTACTAATCAGTATAAGTACTTAAACTTTTTTGGCACCGGAGCTTCATACAATGTCTTTTGATGAAGGTTCCTGGCCACTGACATCTGTCCCACAGTCCCATTATGCACTGACATAACATGCAGAATTATTCATAATTTTTCTGTATTTTTGAGCAATGCGAAATGTAGATACAAGTACATCTTAAGTATTAGCAAGAAATGTTTCAGGAATTCATTTTAAATATGCAAGTAGAAAATGTAAGAAAATCTTTAGGTTTAATCCCAACGCTGGACATGTTTCAGACTTTTCCTAACAGAGCCTCTTGCCCAACATGGGAGGAAGCCAGGAACAGACCTTGAGCCGTTGCTGATGAGGATGCTCTCCCGGATGGTGAGTGTGCAGTAATACCACACCAGCAGGAAGTTGAACAGAGCGTCGAGGACTCTGACACGGGAGCAAAAAAAATGAGGGACGTGTTGCGTCATCACAAAAACCAAATACACTCTGCATCTTCTGCTGCTTTGCGCATTTAAAATCCACTGAGTCAAATCTGAACCATTACTACCTGTAGCTGAACAAAAAGCGACATGAGAAGGAGAACACGAATAGGATGAAGGTCAGGACCAGCTTGAACTTCTCATATTCATCTTTATATGCAAACCTGGGTGGGGAGAAAAACAAGGAGACGGTTGGTGAAGCGGCTCTGAAGCGTCGGCTGCAGTGAAAATATGCAACTTACTTTTCCTGTTTGTTCAGGAGCGTTACATTGATGTTTCCCAGAACCAGAGTGAGGTACAGCCTGAACAGGGAAGACCCAGATATCAGTCAGCCGAGATATTCAGTGTTCTACACTTCAAACTGGAGGTGGGTATTTATCACAAAGTGTATCATTTATCACAATAAATTTCTAGGCACAATAAGATTTTGATTTATTTCTGTCACAATAAATCCAAATTAATGATATCATTTCTACTATTTTTTCCCAGTGTGTGTTCAATAAAGGTGTATCAATAAATACAAACAAATTTGAACCAGGGTTATAATAGTTTTGGGTTGTTCAAATGCAGTCAACGTGTAAGTGTTAGCGATACAAATCACTGTGTTTTTATGACTGGTGTCCTAAAGAAACATATTTTAAAAATTCTGTGCTAAACAGTGACAGCTATAAAATGAGCTAAAGAATATCATGATAACACTCTGCTCCTGTGCGATGTCTTTCTACCCGTTCTTCTTTGGCAGAAATGCTTCCATCTCAAAGAAAACATTCGTTTTGTCTTTGATGGACTCTTCCATCGCAGAGACGAACTTCAACAGCTCTGGGCTCAGCATGGAAGACCGACGATCTCCTTTGCATCTGATGGAGAAAAAGTTTTGACAAACGTAAAACTGTACATATATATATATATATCAGTTGCTGTTGAGTTAAACCCCTTTCCTGTTGACACTCACGTCTTCAGCTCCAGACTGAGCTCTTTCAGTTTCTTCCTCTGTCGTGCGATGGCGCTGGAGCAGCTGCTCTGCAGTTTGGTCATTTCTTCAAGCTTCTGTTTATATAAACGATGGGTATCCTGCAAATGGAGTCGATTAACAAGGCATTCTTACTCATTTTTAATTAACATCTCTGCTGCTGTTGCACATTTCTTTTTCTGTACTGATATGCTTTGGAAAAGTGATGGTCTGACTCCACTGCACATCCCTTGGGTTTCTAGTTATATATTTTTATTATTGTCATTGCTATGGTTAATCTTGTTTTTTTATGTATACATCTAACACTTTTTGTCTTAACATTTATATTTGATGCTGCTATTACACATACATTTTCCCCTTTGCAGAACAATAAAGGCTGTTTCTATTCTATTCTACTCTATTCAGTAAATAGAACAGAGGTGTGTAGGTGCGTCTACATACTTTTATTTTCTTTATTGTTATTTTGTAATTAAAAAAAGAACAGCTCTAAAACACTTAATTTTAAATACATTAGCTTCTTAAAGAAATGTCAGAAGTCATTTTTGCTAAAAGTGATTTTTGTATAAATAAATAAATCACTACCAAAAGGTGCTTTGGAGGGAAAACGACAAGAAATGACTTGGCCTATTATTTTAGAAAGACGATGATATAATGAAATCTACACAGCAGAATGGACACAATGATGTGATATTAAATACATCTAAAACATTTTCATGTAGTCAATATTTTTTGTGATTTCAGAAAGTGAAGCTGGTACATTTTAAACATCCATTACTCATATTGAGTTATTTTTGATGAATTTGGCTCAAAGAAAAAAAAAATTCTTAAAACAAAAAAATCTAAATATTTCATAAAAATCAATAAAAAAAAGATAGTTTTAAACATAAATCTCAGGTTTCTGGAATTACAAGTTCTTTTATAAGGTCTGGGCTCCTTTTGCAAGAGTTGGCACATACTATAATGAAATAGGATTATTGTGAAATATATTCAATCTAATTCTGACCTTCTAAGCATTTCAACAGATAAGTAGCTGCAAGTAACATATGATAAAATCTGTCTTCTATGAACCGATCTGTTAAAATGTATTTAAATGCTCCTGATAATTACAATTGAATCCTTATCTGCTATCTGGATCCCACCCGCCAGTCTCCCCACCTTCACCGTCTGTTAGCTTATCTGGGCAGCAAGTGTTTAATTGGCCGGATACAATAACTCAACAAACCTGAATTTCCTGGTAATCTTTCTCCACATCCTCCCATTCTCGAAAACATTCGGATAAATTCGTTGGACTGAACAACATTTGTCCTCCAATGCTTAGAAATCTCCAGGAATTGTGAAATAATCGAACGCTCCTTTGCAACAGTTGTAACCGTCAAAACAACATCCGTGAACGACACACGCTTCCGGCAGATGCGTTTCGCAATAAAAGCATCACTCTTAAGACCCTCGGGAAAAACAAAACAACCATGAACATGCTTTGAAGAATACTGGTATCTGCTGTTACAACTGCTACATTCTCATTTAGTACTTTTAAAACCTTGTTTGCCTCTCCTTTCTGAAGGCTAAACACTTTTATTTCTTGGAACTACATCCGGTATGTCGGTAATATCGTTCCCATAGTAATTTTAAGGACGTTTTCTTACCAGTTCGTCCAATCAGAGCATACCCTCGTGATTCCATTATGTGTTCTCAGCCAATCAGCGTGAGCACAGGATGAACCCCCCCCCTCACCCCCCATTTTCCCCCACCTGGCATTCACGCCGTAGGAACTACACGTTAGCCCGTCCGCCATATTGTGACTGGCAATATCCACATAGTGACTTCTTCTAAAACAGGGGTGTCCAAATTATTTATTTAATTTATTTTAAATTAATATAAATTTAATAAATTAATTAATTATCATACAATTAAACTCTTTGAGCATGTTATTTTTAATTAACTATGTATTAACTAATTTTTTATTATTTTTTTTAATTTGACTTTATTGGCCTTCAAGCGCTTTTTACTTGACAATTTTGACCCAGGTGAGAAAAGGTTTGGGAGCCCCAGGTGTCACAAACCTGGGATACCAGGTGCACCAGGCGTCACCCAGGTTACAAAAAGTACTAGAGCATCTTTGAAAGCAGGGTCTTCTGAAAAATAATTAAAAAAATATAATAAAAATTGTAACCAACTAGCGCTGATGTGTCTGTTTTTTGAACAGTGATAATATGTACAGAATAATACATAATATATTATGATAATATGCCATTTTAACACATGGAATGGTGATCTAAAGGACAGAAGTAAATTTCTTTTTAAAATTAAGTTTTTTGTTGAAAATTCTTGAAGAAGACGGAGACGAAGAACAAGAACAACAAGAAGAGGTTTGTGTTTGGAATTTTAACAATTAAGGATTTGAGTTAATGTGTGTATGAAGCTGCCAGTGTGTCGATACATTTTGGTTTAGGAATTAAAAAAATACATCATAAAATGTATTCTTTTCCACAAACATGGGTTTATTAAGAAAATTTTGTACATTGCCTTTAAAAATAAATGTCCAAAAATTTGTCAAACATAAGAACATACATGACAGATTGACTGCGAAATGTATTATCGCTCATAAAAATGGAGGTTTTAACAAATTTGTGTCTTTCTTTCCAATGGTGAGAACCTCCCACTCACACAACTGCTGTAGAAATCCTGTGTTGGGCCTCATGGTGGGTTTACGTTTAACAAGGTAGCTCCAGGCTTCCTACAAATAGCAGATCAACAAAATAATGTATAATTATGCATACATGAATTTTGCAGTCTTTCAAAATTTAAGACAACTGTCATCTTTAAAATAATTTAATGTTTGACTTGAAAGTCCAAATAACATACTTTCAAACTCTCCACCAGAGGAGATGTCATGTTGTTTTGAGGGGTTGCCTTATTTTTCTATATTCCATTTATTTAGTTTATTTGATATATGACATAAGAAAACGTTAATTCCACATGTTTTGAGTTATGTGAATGCAAAGCTGAAAACAACCATCCCATTTATGGACTATAAAATCACATGGACACACAATGTGACAATTAAAAGTGGTAATATGTCTATATGCCCCCCAAAACTAAACAAAATTTAGTTTACAATTATACTCTGAATAATTAATTATTTTTAAGTTGAGTCAGTGTAAATACTCTACTTAAAAATAGAGTGCTTATACTCTATTTGTGGAACCAATAGTGGTTCCACACTATTAGTGAACATGGTGTCTGATTTTGGGTTTGTGATTTAATGCTTGATGAAATAACTATTTTGATATGTTTTTAAGGAACTTGTACTTCAAACTGATCATCTGATCTGTAGTTAATATGAAGATATAAGTATATGAGAAATCAGGCAAAAGTTTTTACTAACTTTTTCTGAATAATTTTGACATTTTACTATTTCCAAAATGAAGAGCAAGGTTGAAGCCATTGGTTAAATTGTTACTTGGATGTAAAATAATGCTTTATTTTTACTTTGATGATTTGTGTACATGCTATAATTTATACTTGCCTCCAGAGTGTATCTGAAGTGGTGTATGAGGAATGCGAGGACCACAGCGCTGCAGCGGCTTGTGCCTTCCTTGGAAACTACCAGGACACGAGATCCTTCATCAATGTGAGAACCTGCACAACAGAGAAGTTTCATGAAAAAAAATCTGCTCTAGGTGTTTTTCTAACAAATTTGCCACTTTTTAAACGCAAAAAACTTTCAGGATTTTTGTCTAGAAAACTTTGGCTTTTCAAACTCAGAAATTTCCCAAAATTTCTAGAAACATTCAGAGATTAATCTAAACGTTTTTGAGATATTTTGGTGCATCGTCATAGTTTACAAATGTAACTCTTTTTCTCATTTATGTTTAACGAAGCAGTTTAAGATTACACTCTTATGTGTTAACATCCATGTGACTTTAATTTCAACTTGTTAAACAAAAACATGTCCAATACTCACTAATGAAATTGCATATTGTTTTGAAGTTTGATAATAAATCCGACTCCGCCTTGTCAGCCAGCGGGATGTCAAGGATCGCCCGGATTTCTTTTTCAGACCTGGAAGTTAACAATGACGTTTACAAAAAAACAAAAGGAGCTCATGAAGGATTTTGATACATTTGCAAGTTTGAACTGGTCTTACTCTGAAAAGTCGCTCTGAGTGGAAAGTGAGATGCTGACGATTGCACGGATTTTCAGGTTCCACAGGGAGCCTTGGCTTTGTTTCAGGTCTCCCATATACAGCTGTCCAGGTAGAATCTCCAAAGGATAAAGCTTCAAGTTTTCAAGCTCCTGAGATGAACCCACACATATATTTATCTGCGATGGACTGGATGCAGCTGAAATCTTATCATTTCTCATTGTAAAAGTTGTCCAGAAAGCTAAAGATGGAGGGATGGTTTCATTCTGCAGTGGATTGCATATTCTATAAATAAGATCATGTGCTTCATTCATACTCATTTAGGCTTTTTCACATTTTACCATATTACACTCATGAGTTTCAATGTAATTATGTAGCAGATCAACACAAAATTGTGCATAATATTGAGTGAAATATTTAAATTAAATCAAATTACTAAGAGTAAGTCTGAACGGATACATACACTGAGTCCTTTATGGGCTGAATCTACATAAAGCCACCTTTTATTACACTTACGACCACAAATTTTTTTAAGATATAGATCGTCCATATAGATATTGACAGTCTGAAGGATCAAAACAGACACATTTAAAATAAAAGCAGAAATACACAAATGGTCCAGTAAATAAATCAGTACACCTAATACACACCAATTAATTTAAATACGGAGAAGTTTTCCTTATGTTTTATAATGTACTTGACCTTCGTACTTTATTTACTTTATTAATTTTAGTTTTAAACTTATATATCTAAGCACGTAATATAAATCTTATTGTTTCTTCATTATTGTTTAGTGTTCTCCCTTTAAAGCTTAATGTATATACATATATATACATATATATATATATATATATATATATATATATATATTTAAATTCTTTAACTTTTTATCTTCTTTTCTAATGACTTTTCTCAGTCTCATCTGTTAGTTTTACCGTATGCATTTCTGCCTCATTATGCAAATGAGGAGGTTTAGTTTAGTGGAGTCTTAAAGCTCCTGCCTGTTGGTTGGTTAGTATAACTCCAATCTACATGCAGACAGATGCAACAAATATGGTAAACTTCAATCAGTTTGTCAGCAACTTTAGACATAATGCATCTTTGAGTAAAAGGAAAAATATTAAAAACTATTTTTAAAAACAGTATGTGCAAGGCATGTAGTCTTTTGGAAATAAACTGATCAAAATAAATCTAATTATAAAACCTGAAATAAAGTTCTCCTTTTTTGCGTTTTAAGAGTATTGATTTATTTCTTTGGGCAGTAATATGCTTTTATGTTTAATTACGTCAGTTATGGTCTCCCATAACAGTAAACAAGGAGATAGAAAGAGCAAGAAACTGAAGTAATGAGGTAAAAGCAACAACAACAAAAATAAAACAAGATGGAACAATGCAAGCAAAATATTAAACTAAACTTGGAGCTCAAATGTTTGTGACTTTAAGTGGATTTTGAAGGCAGTTTGCTGCATTGAATTTTATTTTGTGAACTTTGGACTGAATAGATACTGAGACTCCTTCTGAATAATTGATGTGTAAAGATAAAGCAGTCTGTTAGTGAGTTTTACCCAGATGGTGTAAAGGGTCTTCTCAGTCCTTAGAAAGGGGTAAATAGCTGAGAACAGCCTGTAGCCTCCTGCTAGTATATGAATTGGACGGTAGTAGGATTTTCCCAGCTCCCGGGCACAATCAATGGCCCTACCTAAAATCATAGAGAGGAGGATTAATATCTGCTGCTGTGCGGGAAGATGCTATACCGTTACATCTCTACTGATGTTCCAGTACTACTACCGTTTTCTTCTTCTAAGCTGCTTGTGTTGGCGTCATAGATCACAAGATTCTGCATGGTGTCCAGCTCCATTGCATCTGGCAGGTAGAACGTACCATCTCCAGCCTGCAGTTTATCACAGTGTGAAGCAAAAGATTAAATCAGTCATACAGAAACATCTTCATGTTGAACAATCAGATCTTCAGGGTGTAACTTTTAAAAAGAATTTTCCCATATTTAAAAAAAAAACTTGAACGTTTCTGTATTTCAAAAGTCAAAAAATTAAAACTTTTCAAAATCCAAAATTTTATTTTATTTTTTTCATAGAAATTTTGCCAGATGAAGCTTAGGCGTAAATTCAACCTGGGAGACTCGATCCAGCTGACATTCATCTCGCAATCGCCACGTCCTACTTCAACCAATCAGGGCTGGAGCAACTCTCCGCTTTGGGCCTATCATCATCCAGGACCGTCTTCAAAAGCCAAGCTACCAGAGGGTCGACCCGCTCGTCGCTGTGCACAACCCACCTCCTCCCCTCTTCTCCACCTCCGTTCTGATGGATGTTTCCAGGATTCTTCTGCACCCAGCTCCACCACCGGTTCCGGCCCCGGGGAAGACTGTCCGAGCTCGGCCGAGCTGATGTCCTGCCCGCGGTGATCCGCGACTCACAGTCTTCAGCCGGGGCCGAGCGCCAAAGATTCTGTATCATTAAATCTCTAACTGCTATTCTCTTCTCTGTGTGAGTCTCTCCAGATTGAAATGTTATTTGGCAGATATTTTCTCTACAAAGGCTTTTATATATATTTTCAAACAATGTAGTCATAATGATTCCACCAAAACTGACACTCATAGTGTAAGGAATATTATTTTTTGATGAGGTCATTTCATTTAGGGTGAGGTTTTTTTTTCCTGATGTAATTTTCAATAAGATCCAAATGTATCATTGCAAAAAGTGTATTAAACATGAAAACTAAAATAATGTTTCTCTAATTTCAAAATCTGAACAAAATATGTTTGTTTTCTGTTTTTTTTTTTTTTTTTAGCTGTAAACTAAATTTTTGTAGACAATGATGTCATACCGTTTTCACATGTTTGGCTGTGATAATATGACCTGTCAAGAAGTCCCGGGTTTCCTGGGCATCTAGAAAAGAAACATAAAAGTTCCTCATAACTGAAGTTTCAGTGAAGCAACTGGAGCAAAAGAATTAAACCATCAGAAACCCAGACAACTGCAGCTGAAACCTCACCAATCAGACAGAGGTAGTTGGTCTCCGCCAGCCTCGGCACGCTCCGGGTCTGGTTGAGTAGGTTGTAGAGCTCTGCAGGTTCACACAGGACGACCTCCGTCATGATGGGAAAGACGGACCAGGAACCAATCAGAACAAAGAGCAGCAGGATGCGGTTATAGTTCAGAGAAAACACAACATCAAGTGAGCCTGTTGTCTTCACTGAGGAAACTTTTTTTGTTTGACTGCTTTCTGTTGCTAAGCAACATGGAATTCCCTCTCATTGGTTGCTGGTGATGATGCAACCCTGAAGTCTCAAGTTCAAATTTCATACTGTAAAATTGGAGTTTCATCCAATATAAAACTTATCAATGTCACACAGAAAAGGTTCAAAATGTGTCTGAGTGATAGTTAACCCTACTAAACTAATGCTTTAAAAAAAAGAAAGACATGGTCTTTAATCAGCTTTTATATTTATCAATCTGATATGAGGAGAAAACTTTTCTATCAGAATGAGTTGCTCTGCTTGTTTATTTTGTCCTTAAGCTAAAAGACTATGACTTAATTTTAACTGCGGGACTTTAATGAATTGCGAGCAAACAAAACGAGTTAGTGCAAGTAGAGCTGCAGACACATCTTTGTTTCACAGAAACTGGAGTTTCAAACAAGCAATGCGGGCTCAATGCACTACATATCCTGGGCCAGACCTTAAAAAGAGGCAGTAGCCCAGAACTTCAACATTATTGGATATTTATTCAATTAAACTAGTGTTGGGACTCATTTTAAAAAATTTGATTAACTTAAATGCAGTGTCTGTAATTAATTAACTGAAATTAATCAAAGGTAATTCAAAAACCACATATCAAATATGGTATGTTTTTGCTGCTAAATTATTTAACAAATAAGCATATTAGCACAACAGCAAAGACATTTCTTGTTTTTAATCTCTTTTTTATGTTATTCAACCATCAGATGGGTGAAAAGTGCTATTCAAAGCTGAAAAAAACCCGAACTAAACCAAATAAAAAAATCCCCTCAAAAAAAAAAAAAAAAACAGTAGACAAAACTAATACAGAAATAGATAAGCAATATTTAAATTCCTGTCAATGGCAAAAACAGAGTGTGGATAGAAAAAAGGTGTAGGTTTGAGCATGAGCTTGCTGTACTTCCACTTTTTCATACTAACTGCATCATTAAAATCAAGAGTAGAAATTTTCCTGGATATTTTTCTAAAACATGTTTCCAAACAATTCCAACTCTGTCTGTAAATAAACTCATAAAAGAGAATCAGCAATCATAGTCAAATCTGATTGTATTTGTTCTGCAAGTGATTTTAGAATAGCTTGAAAACCAAAATTTGAACTTCTCACAACAATTATTCCATACCTGAATCCAACGGAGGTACAATTGTTTTTGATATTTGTCCTGACCTCTAGTTTTTTAAGCAAACCCTTATCTCTTAACTCATAGTTTGATCCTGATCATAATGGAATTTTGCATGAATTAAACGCAGTTTTGTTTTATTATCACAAGACTGACTGAACCCTGACGCTTACACACACACTTTTGTTCTGCTTATACAGTGGCGTTTGGAGAACAACACGTACTCAGTTCCAGGCCGGCCTGAATGAGTGACTGTGTCCTCCGTCCTGCCCAGAGCCATAAATCATGCTGACAGTCTGTGAGAAAAACAAAGCTTTTTCCTCAAGATGCAGACAGAGAAGGACGCTCCTTCCAAAGGAAAAAAGATCTACCACATTTTTTCACTCGTATTCTTTGGCTTCTTAAACTCAGGTAAGAAACGCTGTCAAGAATTTACAGCACAACTGAACTGCTAGGCCTGTCGATAATAAATTTTGCTGAATGATAAATTGTGCCAGATGGGGTTTTTTTTTTTGCAATAAATGGCAACATTGTTGTTTTGAGACCATTTTCAAGTAACACAACAGCAACTGCATGATAATGCAAGAACGCATTCTCAAAGATCAATCAACGTTAAATTCTTTTAACACTGGAACTGGAAGACATTTTAAATACCCAAAATAAACAACAGAAACAACAAATAAAATTAGTTACGTATCAGATCTTTGTTGAGATGTCGTTCAAAACAAGGCATAATTGAAACCAAAACTCAGGACTGAAGACTTTTATCATGTAATTTTTGGTAGAAAGACAGACAAGAAAAAAAAAACGTTAAATGAGATAAATGGAAATTATTGAGTTTGTTTTAATTTGCCATCCAATTATTTACTAATCATATCATATTCATATTCATATTCATATTATTCAGAACCATAACATGTTGAAAAAGCAATGATTAAATATTAAGTGCATGCTTACCTTGCTAATTTTTATTCTGTTGCATGAGAGCATATTTATTTTCACAGCCTTACTTTAAGCAGCTACAACAGGAAAGAGTTTTATGATGCAGGGAGAACATATTGCAAATTTAAAATCTTTTCCATTTTTACATTTATAAAATGCTAAGAACATGACAGATGTCCAGTTTTTTTCTCCACCACACCCTGTTGAGTTACTTTACCTCATCACAATGTCAGTATTTGTTGGGATGCTGGATTGTATCCGACTGCTTGTTTTTTTCTCCACAGTCCGTATCAGAAGTGGGAGTGTCAGATTTTTTCAGCTGTGTTTATGTGTTATTATGTTATTGTGGGCCACTAAGCTGCTCTGTGTCTGCAGCACTAGCCTGGTGTCTGGATTGGCCTTTTCATGGACTGCCAAGAGGGAAATTTGAACAAACAATGCCAACTTTTGTTACTCCATGTGGGCCCATCCCATAGTCTAACAGCTGTAACCATAGCGATGAGGCTCTGGCTCCAGTGACACAGCTGTATGGTTGTGGGATGAATCCTACCCGTTTTTCCGTGTTTTAGGTTTTGAAAACCTTTACAAATGTGTTGTGTTTTCAATCATAGTGCATTAATTTGGAGTTAATAGAAATCAGATGCCAACCAAACCATTGTTGGTACGGAAGCATTTAACTGCCAGAACTAGAAAATAAATACAGAAGTGATACTGTCACAATAAATCAATGACAAGTTAGAACAACCTCAATGAGTTCCATTTGCATGACTTATTTTTCTCTTTCTACCAAAAGTTTTAAATGTTCATTAGAATTTAAAGTTTATTGATCTTTGAGAATGTGTTTTTGCATTATTATCTTATCATTGTTACATTACTTGAAAATTAAGTAATGTAAAATTAAGTACGATAAATAACAGTATTATCGTTTATTGCAATATCTTTTGTGATAATTTGAGATATATCTTGTTAATAACAACGTTGTATCGTTTAGAAGTTATTTGTTCTAATCTCAATTTTAAGGCATCGTCCAGTATACTGTTTCTAATGTCCAGTGAAACTCTCCATGCTGTTCTGCAGGTGAGGTGGGAGCCGTGAACATGACCATCCCTAACGCTCTGATCAGAGGAGCGGTCGGGGGGGAGGCCCTCCTGTCAGTCCGCTACAGCAGCTTCAGCCTCGACCTGCCGGTTATCAAGTGGCAGCTCCAGAGGGAGAAGACGGTCACCGTGGTCCAGTCCATCGGAACTGACATCATTGGGACCCTGAGGCCTGAGTATCAAGACCGGATTCTGGTGTTTGAGAACGGGACTCTGCTTCTCCACAACCTCAGACTGTCTGATGACGGGACGTACGACGTGGAGATCTCCATCACAGACGACATCTTTACTGGAGAGGGAAGCATCACACTCACTGTGGATGGTAGGGTCACAAACAGCTTCGTGTAGCTGCTGATCACTTATTCAACGTTCTAACTTTGGAGCTAACTTCGGGCCATAAAATTTGTTCAATAGAAAAAAGAAATTAAAACTGAAGAGAAAAAAAAAAGATTTGAAGCTAAGAAATATTTTTAAACTGTGAAAAAGAAACTGGAACAGGAAAAGTATTTTGGAATTTTTTTTTAAAACTTCTTTTCAGTTGTGATAGAGTGTCTTCAGTCAGAGGCTTCTTAAAATCCTCCGTAATACAGACTGCTAGAGATATTTCTTGCCAATAGCCATCACTATCCTCAACAACTCTATGAAGAATCTGAATTAATATTAGTTATAATTAATATTAGTTACTCAATTAATGTTAGCTGATTAATTGATCCTTTGGGATCAATTAAATATTTAAATATTTTTAAACTGAATTGAACTAAAACAATTTTTTATTCAGTTTCAAACTTTTTTTGGTTTCAAATCTTTTTTATTCTTTTGAACAAACTCTATGGCCCCATTTTATCTCCATGCCATTTGTTTCCTAAAAGAAAAATTAGAAACATGGCTGGACCAGAACCATTATGCTTTACTCTGGACATAAGAGAGATGTATTTTCTTCTGCTAAATAATCTTCAAATATGACACTGAGAATTAATTACATTCTGCAATCTTTCTGAGTTCCCAGACTTTATGCATTGAAATAAAATCTTCAGTTTGTAAAGTTGTCTATCCAACTGGAAATGTTAAAATGTTGTGAATGTCCACTGAGGTATTCTGTTTTTGGCTCTGGTCTTACTGTAGGTGGGATAAACTATGCTGGAAATCCTGGGAGTTCACTGAACTCCAGTAATGAGATGTTTGTTTCATAAGAGGCAGAACAAGCTGCCTGAGACACATTAATTCAAGTGCCAATAGTGATCTGCAGAGAAAAACAAATAACAGCACAAAAAAACAGCAGAGTTGAACATTGATGCTGGAAAGGCTCACATTCGTAGACTTGCACAAACATCTGTAGTTTGATGTGTAACTAAAAACGACAAAAGGTGAAAGTTTAGTTTTTCCAGCCAAAACTGGGCTGTGTTGATCACTGTTTATCATAGAAATCAAATTCCTAACGAAATAAAAAGTTTGAGAACTGTAACTATTTAAACCTTGTTTTTGACCGCAGTCTTTAAAGACTGATTGGTCTTATGAAGCTCTCCTCAACATGGGAAAACCATGTAGCGAGTTTCTCAGCAGGAAAGTTGTGTTTGGAGAACTTGTGCTTTGTTGGATAGTTTGTTTCCATCCAATTCCAGAACAGTTTTCTGCAGAACTTCAAAAGTACACTTGAGCTCCTGAAGGTAGCTCAAGCTTAGTGCATAAATAAGACCCACTATCGCCACTGCAAAAGATACATTGTCCAAGTTTATCATCACATTTAACATAAAATAAGTGATATAGTGATATAAAGTAGATAATCATCCGCTTTAAAAATGACTGACCTAATTCAACAGATGTACAGCCAATTGGAGCCTTGTATCCCGAGTTTCCAATGACCGCATTAATGCGTAAATTTTAATTATGAAAATAAATTTGCTGTATAAAAGCTTTTGTTTTTCGATAAAAAGTTTTGGTGCTAGCATGAGGTGGGTTTTTGGCTGTATCAAAATTGGTTTATCTCACAAAACAGCAAAGGAAACGTTTCTTTTTTAACATCACACAAGTCACATAATCAACAGGATGTTACTACATGTGGAAAAGACAAAGAAGAAGACAGGAAGTAGTTGGAGGTTGATGGCACTGCATGGCTTTCAATGACTCATTCACATGGTAATTTAATTGCGTTTCTTAATTAATGGAAACACTGCGATTACAAAATTGTGTTTTTTCGACATTAGCAGGAATCGATAAAGTTTTGTGCTTACATTTCCATGCATGTTTACATTAATGAATGCTGGTGATTGCTCTCACCCTCACCCAGAGCCTATATCCAGGCCGTACATCCACATGGAGGCCTCATCCATCCTGGAGCTCAGTGAAAACTTTGTCCTTAACTGTTCTCATGATAACGGGACCAGAACCACTTACAGGTGGCTTAAAGGTGGGAAACCCCTGGCCAATGAAACACGGTTCATGTTGTCACCTGATCAGAAGTACCTGACCATCAGTCGAGTGTTGATGACTGATGAGGATATCTACAGCTGCACTGTGGAGAACCCTCTGGGCAACATGACCAGCCTGCCAATCAGACTGGCCGTGTACAGTAAGTAATAACATACTTTTGTCAGTTACGCCTGTAACTGCTAGACATGCTGACAAGGCCAGCATGATTTTATTTTTTTTACAGGGACACAAATGGTTCAACTGAAAAACCCAGAAACAATTTACAGAGTAAACTCCTCCAAATTTACTTTGTGAAATCCCAATTATTAGGTAAGGGAATATTTAGCCAAAAAGGAGATTTAATTGACTCAGAAAAGTCATATAAATGCAACATGGATCATCGATGCCAGAACCATTAAAGATCTTGATGCAAGTAGCAAACATGGTCCCAAGTAACCAATGTGAGAGAAAGATGGACTGAAAGCTTTGCAGTTTTTCAATAAAAACAATCCTTAAAACTACAATTTACACTCATTCTGAGGGAAAATTACTGGAAGTGTGAATCAAAAGTTTTCAAACCAGAATCAGGATGTTGCACCAAAAGCTTTGACAAGCTCCTCTACTGGAGAGGTTGTCATAGAAATGTCCCCCTTTTTCAGGATTACATCTCGCAGACAGAGCATGCATCGTGATAAAAGCAGCTTTACTGTCAGATTTTGGGTTAAATGTTAAAATGTTAATTAAAGTAAACAAGCCTCACTTATGCAAACATTTATTCAGTAGCTCTTATTTCTCACCAGGAAGAAGCTCAGTCTACATCATGCTTTCCACTGGAGGAATCTTCATCCTCATCATGCTGGTGACAGTGTGCGCATGCTGGACTCCTTCTAAAAAGTAAACTGCGATACTGTTAATGAATCATTATGGATGTAAATTGGGGTTATAAAGTTTGTTAAAAGGCATTTTTTTAAATCACCTTTTTTAAGTTTCAAACTTTTTTCAGTTTCTTTTTTTATTCTTTTGTACAAGTTTTATGACCCCAATTTAGCTCCACATGCCATCAACTGCACTAATGCAAATGTACATCCCCTGCATTTTTACCAATGTTTTTTTTGTTTGTTTCTTAATCTCAGATCAAGACAGGAAATTAGAAAGTCCAGGATTTATGGTCATTCTCATCATTCACAGCTTAAACAGAAAGGTAAAAATAACATTTCTGGAGACTGCAGCTAAAACCTACTAGGTGTGTAAAATGTGTTTTCCTTCACAGATGATGTGCTTCCCAAAATGAGGGAACAAAATGGCATAAAAGCAGTAACTTCCCTTTACGTCCTCCAACAAAAGGTATGACTCTTCTCAGCACTCTTTGAAAATGTGTTTTTTGTGAAGGGGGAGATTGAAAATGAAATATAACTATGTGTAATATATATATGTGTTACATATGCTTTTATTGCAGCTGCTCTCTAACAGGCACTGAAATGTATTGCATAAAAATAGGAATTATTTATGAAAAGCTTTCAAATGAGAAAACGGCACTTGCTTCAGAGAGGCTAACAACTAGCATGCAGCTGGTCACCCATTGGATTGCGTACTTCCTTTGCTGATCCACTGGCAATGATAGGCTAGCATTAGCATTGGACAGGCTAACAGTATGCCAAGATGGCATGCTGACTCGTACTTTGTTTTTTTTAAAAGAAGCATTAAGTAGCATTTATATTTACAATACCCAAAAGTAATATACATTAGATGGATTTACAAGTGTTCTTTTGACAGAGCATATTTCAATTCAACGTTACACCATGGATAAATATATTATGGAGATTAAGTTAACTTCAGACACCACCAGTTTAGAAATATTTCAGATATTTAAACCAAAAAAGCTTATCTATCTGCCTTGACTGATAGCTTGTGACAAGCATAATGATTCATGTTTCAGCCATATTGTCCCTGAACCAGTATTCTTCACTAAAAGCAGAATATTTAAAACCTAGTTTAGATTGGTGAACCCTATATTTGTGAAAGTTTAATAATGGACAATGCTAATGTGTTCCTAAATCAGTGTTAGTCACCAGCTAACACAATTTTTGTATTTTTGTCAACTCAGTTTATTTAGTTTAAAAATCCAGATGTTATTTAAAGTAATGCAGATGAACCACTAAGCTCTTGTTTTTTTAGGAACCCTCAGTGGACGACTTGTCCAGCAACAGCATTGGGTCTCTTTCTGAACTGGACAGCCCTCCATCCTACACAACTTTCCCCAACTACACAAACTCCCTTGTCCGGTCAGGTGGAACTCAAGTTGGCTCCTTCACAAAGTGTGTCTGAAACTTCAGAAACTGTTCTTCACATCAAATGAAGGTTCAGGGGCCTCATGCGTGAAGCCTGCGTGCGCACGGAAAATGTGCGGCGTCATATTTTACGCACAAGTTTAGTTAAAAAATTAACTTTGCGTCAAAGTTTGCATAAATACTTTTTCGCAATGTGCGGCAGCCATGCCAACTTTTACTGTGGACGACAGCAAACTGCAATGCATCCAAACTCACCTAAATGCACTGAAATCTGACGACATATTGAGACCAAGAAGCATCAAACCCGATGTTTTGCATGATTTTAATATTTCATTGTTTAAACTTAAACGATGAAACTGAACCGCACTTATGCTCAGACAATAAACTAACACGCACACAAAATAAAGAAAATGAAATTTCAGACTAAGCATAATGAAAATCTAATCATTAAAACAGAAAATCTACAGAACTTGCACAAGAAAAACAGGCAGATTAACTAATTAATTCTGAAATATTAATAATAAACTTTATTTATATAGCACCTCCCAACAGCTCCTTGCATTGACCAAAGTGCTGTACAAAGTAAAATAAATAAATAAGAAAGTTAAAAATATATATGACCACAATAAAAGAAGGTGAAAATAATATAAAAACATACAGCCAGTGAGGCTATGTACAGAGGAAATGTTGGAATGGTGTATAATGAACAAAAATTAAACTACATACTAACACTGAGAGGATAAACCAAAATACATAGAACAGAACACAAGAAGGTAATAAATTAAGATGTGCACAGAGTTTGACCCAATATGGAAAAACCTAAATAAATATAATATATTTAGCATATTATCACAACGTGTTCAAATATTTTCCACATTGAGGCTCATCTGATGAACTTCTGCTTAAATGTCAACAGAGACCCGTAGAGTTCATTTTGGTCAACATGGCATAAGCAACTCAAAATGTGGGGAAAAAGCAGAGAACTGCACACCTTCACTTGCATGATGTAAAAACGTACTGGCAACTGAGAAGATGCTGGGAAACTGGAAGATGCTCATAACTTGATTTGGTACCTAACTCTGTTTTCAGACGTTGGTCTACATGGTTTATCTCTTATGTTCTCTAAAACAAAACCTGAGTCCAGAAACATGACAGTTCCATCTGTTTGCTATTAAGGTGCCTTTAATTGGTTGCTCATAGTTTGTTTTATTTTAATTATTCATCTTTCATGTATGTTCAAATTATGCACTACTTTGCATTTCTCTATCACATAAATTGCACAAAAATAGGCTGAGGTTAGTGGTCATAATGTGATACAATGTGAAAAAGTTTAAATTGTATGAATACTTCTACGTTTATGGCTCTCTTTGACTGTATCCTTCAGCTTTTCCTTATTACTAGTTCCTGGAAAACTGCAGTAAAAAGCTCAGACAACAGGAACACCGACTCTAAAATTACACATTTCAGCAGATTTCAGAATTACATTTGACAAGTTCTAACATTCCTACCATCCATCTCCATAAAGGTGCAGTCTGGTCAGTAAGATAAAGACATTTATCATTTACACTTCTCTAGTATGTGTGACATATCATGTTGTGTATGAGGAAATTCAAAACTTTGTAGTGTCTTTGTGTTAATACAAATTTTGAAATATGTGAAGCAATGTATGATCGTGAAAAAGTTAGGACACCACACAAAGGGATAGAGATCAGGGCTTTGACTAGGTTACAGTTTTGATCTAGTCTGGGTCAAGGTCTAAGTTAGAGTGAATCTTATTGTGTCCTGATTTCTTCCCAGATGGAAACTAATTTTTTTTACTACATTTTATAGAACAAATTTAAAGGTATTCTCTTCACTTTTTTTTTTTTACTATATTGCTTAAATTTCCCAGTATTGTTAAAATTGATATTAAATATTCATATGTTTTCACATGACTGCAATTTGAATTTTAAAAATAGTTAATTAAAACTGAATTTAAAAGAGAATTGTATTTTTGTATTGTATTCTGTATTATTTCTTTCTTTTTATGAACTGAATTTCTTTTAAATCTACTTCAGGTTGTTCTGATTTTTTTTTATTGTTTTTTTTTTAAGTGAATCAAATGTATTAATCAGCCTTTTTGTGTTTTTTAATTTTCTTTTCTATCCCCCCATTCCTTAACAAAACACATGTATACACTGCTATTCACAAGTTTTTTTCTTTCTTTCTCTCCCACACTGTTCTAAATTGGTATATGCTTTGTTCATATAAAAGAGAATAAAAAAGACAGCAAATGATCAGTTTAAGTTATAACTCTGTATTGCTGACTGAAAAAATAATAAAAAAGTGAAGCAAATCATCACGCTTTAGGAAATCGTAAGAATGGGAAACAGAACGGGGCATTTCTTAAGTATGTATCTTGTAATATAGATAATTGACCTGGTAATTATTGCACTATATATTCATTCTTGATGTGTACAGAAAATGCACAGAAGTCACAATTATTTGACAAACCTTTTCTGGCTCTTTTGTTTCAGAGAAACGCGCATATCGAACAGATGCTGGTTTTGTCCAAATTCTTTTTGCAATAAACCCAAAGTCATTATCCAACCTTATTGCATTTCTACATTTCTCTTTTTTTTTTTTTTTTTTTGTCAAAACGCTATAATCTGAAGCAAACTTAGCCAGGCACATATGATTAAACATATCATTTGGCCTATTCTTCGGTCAACTAATCCATTCATCCGCATGTCTTTTGGGTAATATCCGTTGATGTAGCTTTTTGTTTCAAAACAGAAATGGGTTAACTCATTTTCACAATATTATCACCGCATGATGGCAATTATATAGTAGTATCCAATTAAATTCTTGAATGATATAGGTTGTTGCTATGCAGTTGTACAGTGTTTTAAGACCTTGTTCACTGTGCCCTTTCTTAACTTTGAGCCACTGCCCCTCCAAAAGGTCTCTGCACGGCCCTGACAGACGACCACGGTTCCCAACCCCAAGGACAAGAGTCACACAATGTTACCTTTTCATCTTTGTTAAAATAAACTTTATTTCTCTGATTATCTATTCTCCTGGTGGTGTTCTGAATGTGCATTAAGAAACTGGAACCCATCATGACAAATACAAGCATTCCTGATTTAGTTGTGGAAATAACTTTCATGATGTACCACATGATGGCGCCGGAAGCCATTTTCACAGCTTGTTTCAGCTCAGATATTTCAAGGTAGAAAATATCCAGTTACTGATTTCACTCCAGTCAGTTCAAGATGTGAACCAGTCTTTAACTCATGCAGATACTTTCACTTCTGGCCAAATTGGCACTGAAATGTCAATTTCTATCAATTAGAAACCAGATAGATGTCTACATTTAGGTTTTATATGGCAATAAACAGACCCAGCAGAATCAGGATGATTTACAAACTTATTGGTAATAAGTTATTAGTACAGTTTTCTTTAAAAAAAAAAAAATCCCAACGAAACAGTCCATGACAGCCAAATAAAAACATGTCTACAGATGCCTTTTGCTTTATGAATTTATAATACATTTAACCATACTGCCATCCTCATTAGGAGTAATAAAGGTACTAAACATAAATTTTTGTCTTGTTCATTGATATAATGTGCTTCAATTGGTGATGGAGTTGCATAAATAAATTGACTTTACAATCATATCCCATTTTTTTGAATGGGTTTGTACTGAGTACAACATACAGATCTGACCTCAGAAGCTTCTGAAGCTTAGTTTGATTTGGTAAAAAGAAAATTATTGAAGAACTTAAATAGCTGAAGACCACCAGAAATTTTACAGGGCAAACAAAGTCACTGAGAAGAAAATTCTAACAAACTCAAGACGTTTCACAGTAAAAAGCCTTTGAAAACAGTTAAATGACATGCAAATAAATTTTTTAATGTTGTGATACAACATTAAAAAACTGTTTGCATTGGTTTGTATGTTGGTTTAAGATCACTCCTTATAAACAACTCAAATGTGAGATGTTTTACATTCATTTCTAAGCCTCCTTTTTTGCGTTAATAATAATATTCAAAGGATTCATGTAGAGATGAAAAATAGCATATTTTCAGATTAAAATAGGAACTTCATGTAACCTGGTCACACAGATCCACCACTATATTTGGCTGTCATTTTTTAAAAACAGAAATAAATAAAAAAAATACGCTGTGATTTACCATCCATCTTAATCTTTTATTTTGCGCCCGGATGTTACACACAGACGGAGGTAAACCACGTGGAAGACTGTAATTAGTCGGATACTTTATTTCTTTAATTATAGCATATTGCATCCTCTGGTCGTTTGTGACAGAGGGGATTACAGCAGGCCTGCAAGATCTGCGCATGCGCTGTAAGCGTCCTACCATCATCCTTTAAACACCCCCCCAGCGCAACATCCTCTCCGGTTGAAACGAAGACCTCCGTCAAGTTCAGGCAGATCACACAGAATACTTCCTTTGTGAACCTCCGAAATTTTTCCTTTTTATCAGCAATAAGCCATAACGATCCAAATAAACCCTTGAAAAATGTCTCTCTGTGTGTTTGAATTAATCTAGGCAATGTAGAGAAATGTATGAGTTTCTCTCTTTGAAATAAATTCCTGAAATAATTCTGATGTATTGAGAGGAACCTTTATTGAATTTTGAAATATGATAAGCAATAATTAAAACAAATGTCGGGCTTAGTAAAGTGGAATTCTTCCTATCTAACAAGCATGGAACACGGAAAATCTAATATCTGTGTAGGAATTGAACGCACCAAAATTAGCAGCTAAAGTGTAGATTGTCGCTCTGAAGCTAGGTTAGCTGCCAACCGCTGCTGCTTGGTAAATGTTTGTTAAATTAGCTTTTTTTTTCTCTGCATTTTTTCTATGAATAAACTCTTGAAATTAAAATAATTGGCTGTAAAGGTAACGACAATGTTGAAAAAGCCTTTTTTAAAATAGAGTTATGTCTCAAAGTGCCGCTTGAAAATCAAAATAGATACATTTTATAATTAGAAAGACAACTAGTTTTAGTGGCTGTTTTATTTTAACATTTTTTTTGTTGATGTCACCGACATTATTTACAATCTAAAATTGGTTTTGACAATTAAAATTATGATGAAGTCAGCAAAGTATGTCTTATTTTGAAATCTGGGTAGATGAACTTCCTGTTGCGGCGCAGCTGCTTGTCGCTGGAGTGGAGCTCCGTCAGAGGACCAGGGAGAGCGTGGTGAGGAATCCCAGCAGCCCCCCCGGAGAGTGCGAGCCGGACCGGCTGGACCCCCTCCCCCTACCCCCGGAGGAGGACCCGAGAGAGACCCACGTTGCCACGGGAGAGGCCTCTGTGTCAGGTAACCGTTCAGTGCGTGCGGTTAGTGGTGCTTTTCCCGGGCAGCCAGGTGCTTTCCAGAAGGCTGCTGGAGATGGAGAGGCGGCGGTCGGTGAGCCGCACGAACCTCTGCAGACCTAACATCCTGTAGCGGTCTGATTTATTCACTCTCTGCACAAGGGTTGCTATGCCAAAACTGAAGGGGCAGGTGAGGGGTCGGCTTTATTTTAGCACCACATTTCACCGGCGTGAAAGTATCTTTGCGCCTCGATGCGCAAAAATAGCGGCACATATTATACATCCTGGATATCAGAACCCCCTAGTCCTCCTCTTCAGCTTTTTCTTGTGAGATGCTTTGCTTGTTTTTGTATTCTGTGTCATACGCAGGCGTGTGATGATGGTTTAACTGCAGCGCTGAATATTTCAGAAGCAAGGTTCTCTACCAAAACAAATCCACCGTTGCTACAGTTATTTATTTGCAGAAGCAATTTTATAATACCAGTAATTCTCTTAGACAACAAAAACACCTCATCAGTTCTGCCTTCAAAGTGAAACTTTATATATGATGGTGAGGAACCTGTATCCTGCAGAAAAAAAGGAGCAATGGATTAATATTTCTTGGAGTCATTAATCTGCAGTACTGAGAAGTAATGTTCTCCTGCCTCAGTTAGAGGAATTTATTGATGAACTGCTGAAAGTCTATAAAAACCCCTACTAAATCCATGTAAATATTAAGAAATAATATGTCTAGAGGTTGTTGGTTAGGAAACAAAAATGACGATTACATTTGTGGTATTTTGGAGCCAAAAAATGAATGAATAATAGTTAAAGTTAGATAAGTTACCAAAGTGGACCTTGCCAGGGCCAAACCCTGGTCGCTGATACGAGGAGATACTGCAGAGGGGAGATCACGATGCTGCGAGGATGGGAAGCTGGGATAGCCCTCCTCTCTGATGCAGAAGGGGAGTGGGGGTGGATTGGTGGTGGCGGAGGCAGTGGCTGGGTTGGTTTGGATCAGGGATGGTGTGGCGCACCCATCCCTTCCTCCCTCCCTGTCCGTGGTATATACTGATGCATTACTGCTCCCTGTTCACTTCTGAGTGTAATCAGTCTGTCAGCAGCAGCAGACTCAATAAGTCACCCCAGCACTAACACAAGAACACACTCTCCTCTCTGATTTCTGACCAGAATGTTGCCACAGTCAGCTGCCTCCTGCTGTGTGCATCAGTTCTGTCAACAGTTGTAATCATTCTTTCTCACAGGGAAAATATGTTTTGTCTTGACAACAAGTGACACAGAATGTGGCAGACATGTTTTTCTTTCTTTCTTTTTTTCTTCCTTTCTTTCTTTCTTCCTTTCTTTCTTTCTTTTTCTTTCTTTCTTTTTCTTTCTTTCTTATTCATCTAGGGTTCTTACAGAGTCAGAAAATGTCAGGAAGCATATGGAAATTTGATCAATGGAAAAGTTTGGACATAAAATTGAGTAGACCTGAAACGATTAATCAAATTAAATGTGATGAATCGATTATTGAAATAACTGTCAACTAATTTAGTAATCGATCAATCGCTAACTAAAGTGATTAGTTAGCGATTTAATTTTACAGATTTAATTTCTTTATTGTCCAAAACATTAATTAATCCATAGGAATCCTCTGTACTATTATTGAGCCATTCCATAGTCTCTTATTTCACATTTTCTTTGTGCCATCTCATCTCCAGTTCAGCAACAAAACAGACAGATCATTCTAATTATTTCTGCTCATAGCATTTCACACTGCTAAACACTGCTTAGTGCTTAGCAGTATGAATTATTTGTCGTGGCTCTAAAGCTGAAAAAAGGCTTATGGATTCAGTCCTTTATCTTCGCTGTACCTCAGTGCTGAGACTGTCTCTTCAGAGAGTTGCCTGAAGTCACTAGCAACAACATGGCCACATTGTACCCAGAATAAAACAGTTAAAGCAACAAGCTCCCGCTGTGGAGAACCACTGAGGTCCAGCTGCATCTGCTGTGTCATATCCAGACTTTGCTTCTTTTCAGGAGGTAAAATTACTCTTTTTATCACCAGTTTTATTTTGGCAAAAACAATCACAGTTTTCAAAGGAAGTTTAGCACTGTGATAAATCCATATTATTAATATGTTGTACAATAGTAAAGTTAAGTTTTCAGTAGTAATAAAATTGCCTTTTTTTGAGCATTAAATTATGTTACAATGTTATGCCCTCATCAACAACAAACCTGGAGTGTTGCCTTGATTCTTTAATGCATGTTTGAAAAATCCTTTCATCCCAATGACAACCATTTGGCTGTGGAAAACGCCTGGGTGGACCTAGCCCCGCCTTTGAGACACAGCTCCTCCTGGCTAGTCTGAGTTCCTTCAGCATCTGCTGAGCTCATTATAGGAACTACAAGTAGAATGCTTCACAGAATGGTTGTAAACAGCTTCATGGAGGAGAATTGTTGTGATGACGTGTTAAAGGCGGAGTGTTGGAAAGAGTAGGAGCTTCTTAAAGAGACAGACAGAAATCTTAAGGTGACACTTTGCAAAGTAAGTTTTCTTAAGTTATGTTTGACGTGTACAGCACGTTATACCAACTGACATTGCAAACACATCGTGTCACCCTTCTAAATTTCACTTCACATTTTCAGTAGAGATAATGAGAATATTCTAAATTGTTTAGCATTTAAATTTATTATTAAATTATGAAGTTTATTTTGTAAAAGAGCAAAGAATCATCTTCATAGTTTTATTGTTGTGTTACCATAGCTACAATCTGATGCTATGAGTTTAATGTTTATGTTTGAAATATATGAATATGTATATTTAAGATACACCTCACCAAATAATATCCAAATGAATCTTAAAAAGTATAGAATTTGATATGAATATAATTTATTTTCTATCAGATTATGTGCCTTTATTGGCACAAATTAGATTCTTAATTATGGTTCAACCACATCAGAAACAAATACACAGAGGTTCTTCTTGTGTGCTAATAATGACTTTGGCTTAGTCCACTTTTTTATTTATAAACTCAGAATGTTTAATAACCAAAAGCTTTTGTTTCATATTTCCATATGTTAGAAAATTTGTGCAGAACAGAATAGAATGTACAGTTCAGTGTTTACACTTTTGTGATGTGATGTGATAACCTGACACTGACCAGGTTCCTGTTCCTGCCACAGTCTGATACTGCCAACACCATATTTCATGGAAGGGTTGGGGAGTTCAGATGTACAGTAAATATTTATGTTTGGTTTTTAAGTGGTGGATTGTCGAGGTTGGCTCCTGAGAGCCATTGGGGCTCTGGTATCCCTCAGGAGCTGTCCATGGTGCTGCCCAGGCCGCTCTGGTGTTTGGGCTACTTTTTTCTTTTGACAATGATTTGCTCAGATAACTCATTGGTGCCATCTTGTGGCTGAGATGTATCCGAAGGTTGAAGCATTGTATGTTTTTCTTTTCTTGCTAAGAGTTGTTTTTATAATTGCAAAGTTTAAACTGGGCTACTAAAGTTAAATGTCTCCTGATGTTTGTTGTTCTTGACTTTTAAGTCATAACAGATCGATATATTTCCTGCTTTTTTCCATAAATTAATTCTAAAATTACCCAAAACTACTAAACCTTCAGTCAGTTGCAGAATGTTAAGTTTATCGGCACCAATTTATGTCTGACTTTTCTTCTTCACAATTATGAAGTGAATATTGTACTGCACCTTTGTGGTGTAGTATAATAAAATTAGTGGTGGGACTGGATTCAAATTTTTAAGAATGGCTTTGCTGATAAGCTAACTGTTTTAGCAAAACATTAACGCAACAATAGTTTTTTCCACTGTCAAATCAGATCATTTTTAAGCAAAAATTAAACCCCAGTGGATGGTTGTTTGCCAGTGTTGCTTGTGCATCAGATTTTTTGGAGTACCATAAACATGCAGATATGAAGATTCCAACTATTTAAAACAAAAAGTGATTGTCTGTGTCAATATTTTTAACACCTTAAAACATATCTGATTAATTAATCAAAATTAATATGTTGATGTAATGTGTCAACAAGTTCAAGAGGTATGATATCTTTTAGAAGGCACTACAGTTGTTTTTGTCTGTATTCACCATATTAGAGGTTCAGTTACAGCATTATCCCTGCTGTGTGACACTTCTGCCAGAATGAGGCACTTAAATAAGATCAGTGTTGACGTTTGCTGACCAACAGCCCGGAACAAACCAAGGGGTGGCCATTTGTTGCCGGTTTTAGCGTTCGTGTTCAGTTTTTGTTTGTGAGTCAGTTTCAAAGCAGAACATTGCTCCGTCTAGGTGGGCAGCTGGTTGACGAGAGCTGCTGCAGCCTCTGCATTGGACTCCCTCACCTCACAAGAGGACATTTTTCTCATGCAGTTTAGTAAGTAATAGGGGCAATGAAAGTGGACAAGTGGGTTTTACCTTCCAATTGTGAGAGTTTTGTTGTCAGAGATCAACAGTTTGCAGTAGTAGCACAACTACAACCTGGTTTCAGCGCTGTATTTTCAGCCAAACTGTCTTTCAAACTGTTCTTTATTGTCTGTCTTCTTCTGTAGGACCAGACCAAAAATTATTCATTTTGTCGAATTGAGACAATATAAATGTGTCGAACATTGAACCGGTTCTTGAAGTTCTGTTAGGCTCAAAGTGGAGCCAATTTTTTTTTTACCTATTTTCGATGAAATTTTCTTCCATCTGTTTTAGTTTCCCTTGAAGTCGAAGTTCTAAATCATCATAGATCAAATATCACCCAAACATCTGTCTCCACTCCAGCTGCATATTCACTCTACCTCTATGCTTTAAGTGACATCATGCTTTATTATTTACTTTACATTATATTTAGAATTGGTAATTGCACTCTTTGAACTTTTGAAAGAGGATTTGTTGCAGTTTATCTTTACGTGTTTGACCAAGATAGTCAACCTTTTGGTTTTTGTTATATTCCTCATTGCACTGGGAACAAATAAAAGATGTTTTTGCATGTTTGACTAAGCTTGTGAAGCTATTGGTGCTTTTAAATGTTTTAACTGTACTGGTGCAGAGTAACCATTACATTTGTAATTCTGTACATTTATGTCTGTGTTTAAAAAAAAGAAATGTTTTAGATAGGGGTGCACCAATATGAAAATTTGGACTGACATTGATATCCAATGTTAATATTGCAGTTGTGTCCAATAATCGATATTTACTGACATTGTGTACATTTCACTGCGGTTTAGAAACTTTTGGGGAAAACAGCAACCAGACACAGCAACAAAATAAAAATAAATATCACCTGTTTATTTTTCTGTCCGATATTGATATGTTTAAAAAAATGACTCATATCAATTGATATTGATGTTAGTTTTAAGTCAATTTAGCACTGTTTCAATATTACCAATTCAATATATTATATTGAATTGGTAACGGTGAATACAAACCTCAGATATCAGTGTCAGTAGTGAAAAAAGTGGTGCATTTGAAGCTAAAGGGGAAACATGCTTTGTTTTATATTAGTGCCTCCAGATCTGTGCGGTTTGGCTGCAGCTCTACTGGTCATTACTGAAGGTTTAGAAGATCTGAGACACAAAGATTCATTAGCATGGCTGTGTTAATTACAGTATCGACTGACAGTTCATCCTTTACTTTCGGGTTTCAGCAGTGGTGGTTGTTGTTTTGTTTGGCCCTGTAGACTCAGAGGGTTCATTCTCTGCAGGTAATGCTGTTGGCTCTCCACAGTGGCCAGATGACAGCATGGTTTCCCCCAACGCAGCCGTGAGCCAAGACAGTAAGGCCATCTGTCAGATTTAGCTTCCAACTGCAACCTCCCACTCCCCCAGGAATTGACTTTATCACTTGCTCAAAAAGTCAGCTAGCTTGTTAGCTAGCTAATCTAGACTTTCAGAATATTAAAGTGAAACATTGATCATACTGATAGCAGCTGTTAATGCTAACAATAAGGACTGCTTTCTTGTTAATATCCACACATGTGGTCCTTTCTTTATTTGATGTCTCAATCCAAAGTGCCAACATTTTAAAATAAAACCTAAAAAGCGAACTGGATACGTGATATTTCCTAACATTCTTGTTTACTTTGGTTAAAATATTTCAAATCGCTACCGATTACTCCTTACAACTGTTTCTTTACTACAAGTTCTCAGTAATGAAGAACCTGACGATCCAAACTAAATTGTCTGTGTCAGTGCTATACAGTTTTGTTCCCTGAGCCAATGGGCCTTGCAAAAGTTTATTATTAATGTTTAGGACAGATGCTGAATATGAGGCTGGAGAAGAAGAAGAGCACAGACAATGTTCATGAATGGCTGCTGTGGCGCCCCCTACAGGGAGTAAAAGAATGCGTTTACCTTTGTGTGTTGACCTATAAATGTAAGTAGTGATGTAACCATTCATCCAGTGGCTCTGTATTGATTATCCTCTCTATCCCTCTGCATGCCCTGAGCTGATCAATGTCTGCTCAGCTCCTTCGATGCACAGCAGCTGTAATGAGACCCCAGAGGATATCATTGAATCGACAGATTAATCAGTTTAACCCGGTGAATTGAGGCTGCGCCCAGGGCAGCAGAGCTCATTGAGTTTTTGTTTCCACTGTGAAGGTATTTCAGAGTGCTGCAGAGATGATGACATGTTGCGCATTTAGGTGAACGTAGAAGATGGAAAAGCAGCATCTGTATATGTTACACAGTGTCATGTGATTCCCCTCAGGGCTGAAGGATGTTTACCTCGGTGAAGGCCTTTGAGGGGCAGCAGTACTCCACCCTGAAGAGGCAGTGCCTGCAGAGTGGCCTCTTGTTTGAAGACCCCCGCTTCCCCGCCACTGACGACTCGCTCTTTCACCAGGGCAACAGGATTGGACGTGTGGTCTGGAAGAGGCCTCAGGTGAGTTGTTCTGGGGTGTCCAAAGTGTGACCGTTTTGAACAATTTTCTGTGGCGCAGTTGACTGTAGTTCAAGAATAGTTCAGTGAAAACTTTTGTTAGCACAAACATTTTAATGACAAATTTACAAAAAAGTATTGGGACAACTGTAAAAAAAAAGACTTTAATCTTAGATTTCTGAACATAATTTAGAATGTTAGCATTCTTACGCTAATGTTTGTTAGCACAAGAATGTTTCTGAATTCTGGGATTGTGCTGATTACAGTGGAATCAGTCCAAGTGTACTGCTGATTTCAAGTTTTGTTTTGATTTGTTAGTTAATTTTTCAGTATTTCTGAAGTTGATATAAAATTTTCACATGACCGAATATGTTTCAGGAAGAGTGTCAGAATTTATTCGCACAATTGTAAATATTTTTTGTGATTTGTTAAATTTCAGTAATTTAGCAATTAACGCTGATCCCCGACACAGAATATTTCTTTATCTAGCGATAAATGTTGAACTTGTATGAATACAGGAAGGAGCAATAAGAGAGGGATTTCATTTTTCTTCTTTCTCAAACATGTAGTCTGACTTCCCGTACATATTCAGTTTTTTTTAAAAATATAGACACTTAACATCTTTACAAACCTGAGATATGCTGCAATAATGGTTGCTTAAAGAAAGTTAGTAAGTACAGAGAGCTTAAAATACATATGCATTATGTATGCACAACTATTATTGTTTTTGTCTTTTCTGCAGATCATAAAGGTGTTTCCATGTTCCGTTGATAGAAAATGTAAAACTCATTCATTAATTATGTGAAAATGGCTGGAAGTATTCTGTTTCCTGGTGAATAAGCCTTTCATATGACACACTCTGATATCTGAGTAGAGGTTTTTCTTATATTCTGAAAATGCAAAGACATCTTCACAGCTATCAAACACCTTCAGTTGAATTTTGCACCCAATGTAGCAAGACTTACTATTACTCTATAAAAAACTAAATGTGATGCATGTGTGGGTCTCCTGATGATGCAGCCTGCAATAAATTCTGAGAAGTATTTTTGCCTCTTAAAAGCATCTAAATGAGTCAGCTATCAGTACTTAAGGTCCCTGCAGGATTGGAGATTATTAACCCTACAGAATGACTAATCATTTTTAATTCCTCGCTAACTTCAGCAGTGATCAGTAATTGCTCCACTGCACTCTCCTTGTGTATAAGCTGGTGATGTGTTGGAGCTGTGGATGATATGAGATGCAGGGCCTCAGGACTTTGTGAGCCAAGTCCCCTGCCGCTGTTATCCCCCTTGCGCAGCAGGCCGTGGTTCTGGATGGTGTAACCTCCTTCTGCCATGGAGAACGTGCATCGCCGTGGAAACTGGGTCACACAGATTACATGTTTTGGTCTGTGCTGCTGATGTCAGTCATGCAGACGTAAAACTTGAAGTAGGGAGAGAGCACGGGAGGAGGAAGATTTCTTTCCGTTTTCATTGGGAGATGATTTGTGTCGTCACTTATTCTGTTGTGTTTTTTGATGCAAAGGTACGGTGGCCCAGAGGTGCAAAACACTGCAACATTGCAAAATTGCAAATTACAAAAACACAACAACATTAATTCTGCTTGTAAATTTACATTATTGTCTTAATAACGTAATTCTTAACTGCGAAAGGTAAAGGTAGTGAGTCCACTTTGTACTGTAAAACCGTTGAAACTAGTCCATGTAGCACGTTTTCTCCACCGCCACTTTCAAGATGACTGTGACGTAAGAAAGACTCAATGGATATGTATTCTTGCCTAATGTCCAATCAGCGATTTCGCAGGTCTCCAACTGGGACATACCCTTTCTGTTGTCTTAATGTTGTTGTGCTTTTGAATTTGTTGAAGTGGTTTGCACCTCAGAGCCACCGTATAAAGGTCCAAGGTTTATGATTTTTTCATAAAAAATAGCATTCACTGTTTTGGAGAATAAAAAATCCCAGCAAAAATAACTTTTTGCTGTTTTGTTTTAGAGATTGATTTCAATGTTTTTTTTACACTGTCTGTCTTCTACTATCACAACATGTTGCCAGTTTTGACAAATATCTAAAAAAGGTTATAATGATGTAGCATTATAACCCAATAAAATTGATTAATTTGGGCTCCTTACCTTACTGATACTAGTGCAGTGAACGCGTAAACAGATCTTGGATTGCTCTGCTGTTCTTCCCAACGGGCACTAAAAGCTCATTCTAGATGTACTATATTATTCAGTGGGGAGTGCATGATAATGAATTTAGACGTTAAACTACTTTAGGAAAGAGTGCCTTTGAGGGACTGAAATACTCAGAACCATCAAAATTTAATGAAGGTTTTGGGAAAAGCTTGTTTTAAACACTACACACCCGCCTTCAGACTTAGCCTGAAGTGCATTTCAGATCTGGCTGGACGTTAAGGTCAGGTGGGTCCACAAAACTCAGAAAATAAACTGGGAAAATTAAGAATTAAGCTTTGTCTTAATTCAATTTAGGATCTGTCGCTTATGTTTAAAATTCAAATCATGTCAGATACTTATTTATTAATAATCAGAAGCTTACATACATTTTCTCAGTACTTGTTAGTGTTGCCTTTGAACTTTCCTCCACAAGCGTAGCTCAGAGGTTTGCTGGAGTTCAGGCCCATTCTTCCTGACAGAACCGGGTGAACTGGATCAGGTTTTAGGCCGCACAAATTCTCTGTAGGCTTGAAATCAGGGCTTTGTGTTGGAAAAAACATTGATTTTGCAGTCCTGAAGCCATTTTGCAACCACTTTAACTGTATACTGAGGGTTATTGTCCATCTGGAAGATCAATGTGAGCCCAAGCTTTAACTTCCTGTTACTTCAATATTTCTACATAATGTTCCTTCCTTCTGATTCCATCACATGTCTTTTGGCTCCTTCCTTGCTGAGTAGCCATTCAGCCCATGTCGGTACGGGACATGTTTCACTGTGGATGATGACTGTTTTACCATCTTCAACGGCATCTTCACAAGGTTTAGTTTTTCAAATTAATTTGCACATTTGTCCCAAAAAAAGCAGCAGGATATTTACAGAGTATGGCTGAGCGATGTATCAATTTGATCAATAAATTGATTTTTAGGTTTTGAAGATTAAGTGTTTGGAACATCTGAAAAAAAATTTTCTATCAATGGATTGCCATATTTCAGAGTGATGTCGTTGAGCAACTCATAGAAGGGTTGATTGAAATAAAAGTCACTTAAAAAAATAAAAAAATTAAAAATCTGTTATTTGTAATTTCTTTTTTAAGAAAAGAAAGTGAGAACTATAATTGATAAAAATTAAAAATCAGATCTGGTATGAAAAAAATCAGAGATTTCATTGCAAGCCATATCACTCAGCCCTTTTCCAGAGAGTTGAAGATTCAGTGAGAGGAGGAGAGACAGAAACAGATAAAAGATGGCAAAAAGAGAGCGAGTTGGTTGCACAGAACTGTTGCAAGAGGCTGATGGATCCTTTCCCCCTTGGGCTCAGCTGATGAATGGCGCCAAAAAGGCTCTGAAACTGGTTAGAAAGTCTTTAGGGGCAGGGTGTTTGACAAGGCTGCGCTCGGCCACAGTATTCACATTACTTTAGTGTCTACAGGGCCGGGCGCTGATCGATACCTTATTACTCTTCCACCTGCGCCTGTCTGTGGACGGCAGACCACCACAGGGAGCTCTCGCTACTGCTCAGTCTCTGGGAATCAATGCTGCTGCGGACAGGAAGAAGAAACGTGCCTCGATAACTTAACTCAGATGTACGGTGGCCAAATGTCACTCCTAAAGCTGTAACCCAGCTTTACTGAATGTAACGTGAGATGAGGGAGTCAGTCGACTCCTCACTGCATTGGCCTTTGCTTCTGATTAAAACTTTGCTTTTGCAGCATTCAGCTTTGCAGAGTCAGCAAATGACTGACCTTGCTTGCATCCTGTATAAGTTGTGAATGTGTGGTGCTCATCCTTTGTGTGTATACACATGACATTATGCATTAGTTCAAGTGCTGATATTTAACAGTGAAGCTGCACACTGGGCTTAAAGGTGACCTATTATGGTTCCTTGAACCTGTTAGGTCTATGGACAACATAAAACATTTTTGTTATATTGCACATAATAATTCCTAGATAATGCGACATTCCACCCATTTTGAGCTCCTTTCAGAATGGGTTGTTTATTGCCTCTGTCACTTCAAAGCCAAGTAAGCTGCTGCTGACCAGGCCTCCCAACTCTACATTTACACTTGCATGTGAAAGTAACTTCAAAAAGATACACAAACATGCAACCATACATCTTTGAAAAGCATTTTCAAAGCCTTCTCCACAACCAACTTTCTTCGTTTTTCAGGTGTTGTTTGGGTTGCAGTTTACTGCAACAGAACAGGAGTATTTTTCCAGAAAGTAAATGGAAACTGGGTTTATTGTGCCGTTTATAGCACAATAAAGCATTTCTGTGAGGAGGTTGGGCCTCTCATGATCTCTGCACGCCTTACCAGAGCAAAGTTTTGCAGAAACCAGGACAATAATTGACTCTATTTAGCAAGTGGAAAGCTCCCAATTTGCATGCAGTGCTGCTGCCATGATGATGCATAGTTCTGCTGAAATGAATACTGGCAATGATGGAAAACATGGTGCGCAGAGCACAGTTTTACCTCCAATTCCTACAAGTACTTTTGTCTCATTGAGAAGCATTTTAGTTAATAACTTCTTTTCTTTTGACTGTGTGAACCAGTCCCTCCATGACATTGCAGTGGTTTTTTCACATTTATCTTAAAACATGTTTTTTTTTAACTAAACTGTGAAGAACTGGGAATTTGTCCGACTCAGAGGCCGCTGGCGGCTCACTTCCTGTAGTAACTAACCATCCCACACACGATCACAGGAACCGTGGTGAGTGTGACTGTGTATGTGTGGGTTATATTTTCTGCTCTCCATGAGTGTGGGTAGGTGTAAGCGTCCAGCAGCTTATTGAGTGCGTTTTCAGGGCTCTCAGTCATTGCACATTGTGGCTGAAAAATGAACCTCATCACAGAAGCAGCAGGAAGTGTGATTTCACAAATGCAAAGCTGAGCTCCCACTCCTGTGAAAAAGGTCAGCAGTGTGACCAGACTGTGCATAAGGACAGATGGTCTGTCTCTGATTTCCAAGCTGGCATCAATAGTCTATTTATTTGCTTTTATCATTAAAGTTCTGAATTAAACAAAAAACAAAATCATTCATTCCTCTTCTTTTGGTGTTATTTCAACATTCAAGTACTTAAAAATGTTAAATATTAGGCTGGTGTACTGGGGGGAAAACTACCAGTCTGTATCACGTGTATCAGTTATTTATTAAAATGTTTATTAAGTTCATTAAAAACACAATAAAATATTTAAATGTTGAAAGAATTATGTGACATTTTATCATATTACATGTTTAAAATCAGGTATTTCAGTATTTTATCAAACATTTCTCAATTTCCATCCTATAGTTTGTCTTAAAATCAGTTTACTGTCATTCACCAAAATGCTAACATGTTAACCGATTGGTTAACCACATGAGCTACAGACCAATCATGTTGCTCAGACCAGTGTTAACCACGCCCACTAAGGCTCCCATATAGAATTAGTTGATATGCTGTTAAACAGAAATATTAAATAATAACATAAATGAAAAAAATATTAATTAGATTTTCTTTAACTTATAATAAATGTATTTGTTTGTATTATATTCGAAAAATATTTACTTGAAAACATTGGCACCCTAAATATTTTTTATATTTTTTAATAAATTTGTTTTAGAAAAAAATCTTAGAAAATGAATTTATTTATTAAATGAACAGTTAATAACTGTACACTTATTTATATTATCACGTGAATATTTATATAAAAGCTTATTAATGTATTGAATTGTGTAACTTTTGATAATCTGATAAAATTACCTGATGTTTCTTAATTTTTGAGAAATGTTTTCTGTCATTAAACTAGATTCAGAATTTCCACAAATAAATGGAGCAGTTATTGGGTGTTTTCTGTCCTTGTTTAGGAACTGTGTGAGGATCCTCACCTGTTTGTGGATGGCATCAGTGCACATGATCTCCATCAGGGACAGTTGGGCAACTGCTGGTTTGTTGCAGCTTGTTCCAGCCTGGCATCCAGAGAGTCTCTTTGGCAAAAAGTAAGTATCTCTGAATGTGGGCTTTAACTTCATGCTGTTTTGGTGTGTCTTCAAATGACAATGTATGAAGCTAAACTTAGGCAGGGCAAACAATCATGCGCGCACACCTTGAGAGAATTTAGAGAGAATTGACAGACAGTTTTTGGACTGTGGAAGGAAGCCCAAGTACCTGGAGAGAACCCACCACACACAGGAAGAACACACAAACTCCACGCAGAAAGACCCCGGGCCAGGAATCGAACCCAGGACCTTCTTGCTTAAAGGCAACAGTGCTACAAACACATTTTAATTTGTGAAATAGTGGCCAAGCCATAACGCAGCAACAAAAGCAACAGAGCTACAAACACAACAAGCACAAACAAAAGCCACAGTGCATCAGCAAGCAGAAACAACATAGCAAGAGAGAGCTACAACAAAGATTTCTAGAGTAGTGTTACATTAACTTCCTTTTTAACATATCTTCCATTGAGGCTTAAGTTGTTGGATTATGACTTTTACATTTTGTTGACCCTTCTGGGCCACCATAGTATGACTTTAAAAATGAGCAAATCGAACAAGTGCAGACCAACAAAAAAAAGTTAGGTCTCAAAGTAGTATCTTTGAAAACCATCTTTAAAAAGCCTCAGAGACCCATCAGGAAGCCTGAAGATCAACATTTTAAAAGGTTATCAAAGTTTATCTGCTTTGATGCAAAGTGTACATACAGAAAGTAGATATAATCCCATATCTGTCTCTGTCCATTAATGACAAACACATTGAGGGAAATCATTTCTGAAGATGTACAATATATGAACTCAATACAATACTAAAGTGCAGTTTTAATTATCCTCTAATGAATGCTTGTATCCATTAGCAACCATTATTTGACAATGTAAGATCAGAGCATTAAAGTGCCTCCCTGCTTTCCCTAGTGTGGAGTCTCTGAGGACAAACTGGAAGCTCTCAGGGTAAATGTGATTTTTATCAGGGTGTAATCTGCAGATGATTGTTTACACTGTTCTGACTAGCAGCCAGTACAAATGGATGGAGAAAGAGTGACGATGCATTGTGACAGATGGATAGATGAACCCTGTGAAACTTAGCTGCAAACAGATTAGCGTATGCTAGATTCATAACTGGCCACCTCTTATGTTTTAGCTGATTTCAATTTTAATGTGAAGAAGCACAAACCTTAATGATGAGATTCTGTTAGACGCACATTTAGTTTCTTCTTTCCATTAGTGCTCTGACAAACTGTCATTTGACTTCAACTCATTCACGCCCTCTGAGCAGTTGTTGAAACTCTCGTCTGAAGCTGGAAAAAAAAAACTGTTCTGCTGTTGATTGTATTGGGACAAAACAAATATAGCTATGAAGAAAAACAACCTGAGAAACTTTTTTGTCTGTTTTAGAAGCAGATAACAGAATCCTAGTCATAACTGTTGATAGCACTGCTAAAGGGCGGAAATGTTTAATGATGTTAACATAGAAAGGAAACAGAAGACAATTAAACATAATTCAGTCCTTTTAGAAATAAGTTAAAAGAGAGATAATGTGTTCCAGCCAGGAATATAATGACAGTAATAATAAGTAGTAATAGTAATAGCTATTATATTGTATACACATTATCATTAATCAGAATAATAATTAATAATATAATTAATAATTATTTTATGCAGTAATTGCAATAATTGCAATAGATATTACTATTATTATCAGTATATTTATTAGAATAATTGTATTAGTAGTATTAAAAATGTAATTACAATAAAACGTAGTTTATTTGTATCGAACATTTCAGTAACTACTAAACTAATTGTCACGGAAGAAAACTTAAGCAGCATTCTCCTGGTCATTGTTAGGCTCATCAAGCTAAAAAAAAAAAAAACAGCTACAGCTGAAACACAATCTTGTATGGTCCAGTTTGGGTTTTGGTCAACAAGTGACATGCAAGAATGAGCAGAATGATGCATAACAATGAGGAGACCAAACTATAATCCATATTCATGGATTCAGAGGCTGCAGGCGGGATGGTTTTAATTGGGACTCCTGAGAGCGCGCTGACATTTTTTGGGTGAAACCAGACTCAACCTCTTGTGCTTCAACAAAATCAATTGCTGACAAGAAATGAGCTGAGATTCACCTGATCTGTGACACATTCACATGTTCTCAGGCACCTCTTGAGCACAGTTCCTGAGCACAGTTCCTGAGCAGAGCCTGAGGCGTTTTGTAGAAACCACGGTGAGCCTTAGGGAGGAAGAGGAGGGAGAGAGCTTCCTTCTTCCTCCTGTTTGTCAGGGTCACCATTATGTGGCGGTTTGCTCATCTGCTGGGGAATACTCACTCTGTCTCTGTGCATTTCCTCATGTGGGACCGGGCTCAGGGAAACTCTTCTGGGCTGAATGTTTGTCAGACAGGAACATTTTGGTTCAGCTCGCAACCCAAGAAATGACAAATATAGCTATACAAGCATCTGAAAGCCTTGAAAATTCTCAAATTTTTATTAGGTGCTTTCAAGGTTTGGACAGTTCTTTATTTCTGTATAAAGCTTGATTTTCAAACTGAACAGTTTTGTAACAAAGTGTAATGTGATGATTCATTAAAAGCCTAAGTTTGGAAATGTTATTTACATCTGAAACCAGACTTTTTTCATACATCTAATAAATTTTTTCTCAATGTCTAAAGTTAAATTTGACTTGTTTTAGGTCAGTTGGCATTACCAAAATTATTGTAACTTTCTTTGTCTTTTACATAATTTACCTTAACACCATTTGGTTGAATTGTTTCAATGTAATGTATATTAATTAGTACAAATTACTCAGTAAGTTATTGATCATCTTATATTTCATGCATTAAACAAAGTTATTGAAATTGAGGGATTTTCTTTTTGTTAAATTAGTATTTCTGTCTTGGTCCTGTTGTTACTTCTATATATATATACTTCTATATCTATATGTTCTTCTATATTCCAATTTATTTATTAAGTGTATTTTGTTTGGAGGAAGCAACTTGCGTTGTTTGGTGTTTTGCTTTAATAATTTTTTCTTCTCTTTGAGGTCACCTGGTCATGTGTTGCCATGGAAGCGTGCCCATGAGCAGTGCTGACAAGGACCTGGTGTTTTCAATCAACCTCAGAATCTATTGTTTGAGAGGAAGGGAGATGTTTGTGGATTTTGTTGGGGCCCAGATTGTTTTTGTTTTAGTTTTGAAGTTGTTAGTTGAAATGTAAATTACTTTCTAGGAATATAGTTTAGTACGACAGTTTTTTTTTCTACTTGTAAATGTTGACTCCAGCCCTTAATTAGTCTAGGAAAAGCCAATGCTTTAAAAGGCAGGTGTTTTAGATCAGAGGGAGATTCTCCCTCTTGTGTGAACATGTCATGCTTTACATTGGAAGGAAATGCTTGAAAAAAAAAAACATAAAGAAAAAAACAAATGGGAGCTCTACAATTTCTGGACTTTGTTTGATTCTTTGATTGCAAACCAACATAAAAAAAAAAAATAAAAATATATATATATATATATATATATATATATATATATATATATAAAATATATATATATATATATATATATATATATATATATATATATATTATATATATATATATATATATATATATATATATATATATATATATATATATTTTATATATATATATATATATATATATATATATATATATATATATATATATTAACATAGAAAATTCTGAGATTAAAGTTAATTCTAAGTTTTAAAAATAAAAGTCAGTTAATTTTTTAAGTGTCCCTAATTACCTCTTCTTTAGTTCACTTGTATTGTTTTACCTCCAAAGTGTGGTACTGGAAAAGTTTGAAAACTTACCTTGAAAATGTAAAGTGCTTTAATTTTACTGTGGGAAAAGTATATGAACCCTTCAAATAAAACCAGAACACAGCTGTTATTTGATTTTACTGTATTTATTCCCATCATTAATGGCTACAGAGATAAAAAGCAAACAACAGATTTAGTCCCAAATGTTCTTCAATTCATAAAATAAGTCAGCTGACTACTTTATGACACAAGAAAGGTAAAACTTTGAGTTCTTTCAGTTCATTGCGTGTTTTAAGCATCCACCATGAAAGTGATGGAGCACTCGACACTCTCAGGGCTGCATCCTTCTGCAAAAGCAAACAGGAAGTACATCACCTTCCTCACCATGGCCAGTTCTGCGATCCTCTCCCCGAACTCAGCTGCGTCTGCCTCGTAGCACTGAGCGGGAGCGTCCTCAGCAGCCGTTCTCCAGAACACACCGACGGGCTCCAGCAGCTGGCGCGTCATCAGGTTGGTGAGGTCCGGCGTCCAGAGCTGCGAGATGGCCGTGATGGTGAGGCGCCCTGGCTGCGCCAGACGCACCGTCCAGTTTGAGAAGCGAAGCGACTGCTTGGAAAAGTCCAGCTGGTACACAGCCTCGTTGGGCCGCAGCAAGCGCTCGCCTTCCTGTCGCTTCTGACTGCGCTGCTGCAGGGACTGGACCCGCAGGCGCATCATCTCTGTCAGCTGGCTGTCCAGCCGGAAATGCAGCTCAGTCTTTGTAGACATTCTCCCACAGCACTCAGCGGTTGACAACAACTGCAGGCTGGATTAAAATTGGCTTCTGTGTCCAAGCTGGACTTTTCTCTGTCCACTATCTCTTAATCTGTCTCTTTCTGCTGACTGCCACAGTTTGCATGACTTCTTGCCTAAGCAGTGTTAAAGAACAGAGGGAGGGTACAGATGAGCCAGGAGAAAACAGGATCTAATTACATTTCAAAGCAGAGCTCAGCACCGGCCCGCTGGGAGCTGTACTTAGAACTGTTTGTCACACGTTTGTTTTTGACTTTGCTCGCTTGGTTACAGCAGAACATCCAGAACATAAAGTTCCATCTGGATTGCTCAAACTTATAATTCACTTTTTAGATATCTGTTATGAATAAGGCAGTACCTATGTGTTGAAGAGGAAAAGAATGACAAAATAAACTTTAGTTCATTCCTCTTGGGACGTTAGAAATAGCAGGTGAATGCAAATCACTGTGTACTTCTGTTCAGTCTTAAATAGGACCTATTATACAAAATTCCCATTTTTCACTTTTTTCTGCTTCCAATTGGCTCCTTACTGTACAACTACTGTAATTTGATGCCATATTAGTGCCATCATAGAGGAATATAAGGAGGTGGAAATTTCTGAATTTGAAAAGTTGAATATTTGCTTGAAAAAGCTTGAGAAATGTTCTCTGGAAAACTGTGTTTTCAAAAATCTTTGACTCTTGAAACTTTTGAAATATCCATATTTTTACTAAGAAAATTTAGGAGATCAATCTCAAAATTTCTATGTTTTTTTGGTGGACATTTGTGCCTTTTTTTCTCTATCTACAAAACACCATCATACTACTGCTTCTAAGAATTGCCCAAGTGCTTAAAAAAGCCACCAAGCTTTTTTTTTTAGCAATAAGTTAATGTTTTTTAGTTAATATTCTTACAAACCTTGTAATTAAGTCACATTTGATGGGCACTGCACCATTACTTAGCTAACCCAAGTTAACTTGGTTTGATTCCTTGGCAAGTCTAGCCCTGTTACATAGCAACTCCAATCAAGGACAGCCCTGTTACCTAGCAACCCATGTTGATTTCCTGCATGTTTGGTCAGCTGGTTTTACTGCGGTGTGCTTTGTACAAATTTGATAGAAAACAAGTGTTTACTTGTTGACTTACCATCCAGAAATAACTTGCTGCATTTTTGTTGGTTGGGCAGAAGGTACCACTTCTGCTTTTCAAAGACACATGGTTGTACCTTGTGAAAATGACTTCTTTTTGAAGTAATTTTCTCACGCGAGTGTAAATATTGAATTGGGGGGGAATGGCCACAGGGAATGGAATTTGGATTTAAAGTGACAGAGGCCCTAAAACATCACATTCTGACAGCAGCTCAAAATATGCAGAAATGAGCAGACCAAAATCTCATTATCAGAGAATGATTTTGTGCAAAATATGTAATGAATTTATTTTCTTTAGCCTATAGACCTATTCTAACATGTTCCAGGAAAAGTAATAGGTCACCTTACTCCCAGAGTTCTGTTGCTTCATCACAACAGATGAAAGCTAAGATAGATAAAGTGAGAAATAGAAACATGAAAAATAACCATCCAAAGGGTCACCAAATGACCATGATGCATCTCTGTCCTCCTGCTCTGGAGCAGCGGAGGGCCGGATTCTCTCCATCGGCACAGAGTTGCCTCCTGCAGACAGGAGCTGCTGTTCAGTTAGCTCATCTTGACATCTCCAGGGACACCCGCTGGAGGCCTGTCACTTCGCTCACATGTTGTTGTCGCTCACTGTTCATAGTGTTGGAGGTTCCACCACTGTCTGTACAGAATAGGGAAAAACATGTTTTCTCCCCTAAAGATTTCTTTTCTTTCTGTTTCAGATTATCTTTGGATAATCTGATTATATAGAAGAAAACAGTTTTCAATGATGAGAAAAAAAAATCAAAACCAGTGTGACCCTTTTGAAAAGTTCCCTGCCTTTCTTGAGCCATTTTTTTTAAGTCATTATATTTCTGCATAGCTCATATGTTCACTTACTGATGATAATCAAATAAAAAAAACAGTGTTTAATTGACTTAATGCATATTTATTTTGTTAACCGACATAAATGCAGTGAATTACAAATTTATTACAGGACTCTGAACCAGTTCAGCACACTTCAATGCACCAGCATGTAAAAGCAATTTATTCTGTCAGTAAACAACCAATGTAAGATAAATAAAGAAAACAAAGAAAAAATGAAGAAACTGGAACAGACAAAAACAATATGTTGACTACCTTGGTCAAACAAGGTAAAAATAAACTGCAACAAACCTTTGAAATGGTTCAGAAAGTGAGATTATGAACTGTAAATATAAAGTAGAATAAATAGTAAAAGAGTAAAGCAGAGAATTAGACTGAATATTCTTCCCTTATAAACTGGCCCAATTTAGAATTTTTTCAATGTTGGAACAGATATAGACATTAATATTGGATCAGTGTGTGTCTATTAATAACAGCATTTTACTCCTGTCATGTTGAAATAGGACTCCCGTTGACTCTGTTAACATTTTTTATGCCTATTGTAAAATTAAAATAAAAGAGGCACACTTTACAAAGTTAATGTGGTGTAATAATTTAGGTAAGTGTATAAATTAGTTCACCAACACTAAATGCGTCATCAGATATGTCGGGTCGTGATCTTACTGAATCCCCTGCTCACACCGTGTTTTCCACCTCGTTTTGCTCCAGGTCATCCCGGACTGGAAGGAGCAGGAGTGGGACACAGAAAACCCTGACTCGTATGCTGGGATTTTCCACTTCCGCTTCTGGCGCTTTGGTGAGTGGGTGGACGTAGTGATTGATGACCGGCTGCCAACAGTAGACAACCAGCTTGTCTACTGCCACTCCAATGACAGCAACGAGTTCTGGAGCGCCCTGGTGGAAAAGGCCTACGCCAAGTCAGTATCAGTACCAGCAGATAGGGAGAGATCCTGATGATTTACGTTGTAGTTTTACACATTAAAAGTTGTGATGTGTATGATGTTTTGATGATGGAAAGCACATTGAACTGCCTTGCTGCTGAAATGTTCAACAAATAAACTTGAACTTGAGCTCCTTTCTCTGCAGGGTTTATGGCTGCTACGAGGCCTTGGATGGGGGAAACACAGCAGACGCCCTGGTGGATTTTACTGGCGGTGTTTCAGAGCCTGTTGACCTTCTGGAGGGTCAGATGGCAACAGATGAGGCGTCTCGTAACCAGCTGTTTGAACGAGTACTCAAGGTCCACAACAGAGACGGCCTCATCAGCTGTTCTATCAGGGTGAGCTAACGACGTCTTTCACTGAACGCTCCAAACTTCTGTAGAAAACTAAAGATTATTCTAGTGATTAATCTATTATTTAGGTAAAAAAAAATTGGCACATTCTTCAGATTTTTCATTTAAGCTTTAGATACAGTATACATATAGAGATTTTTTTTTTTACAGTTTTTTCCTAATTACGGCTTTCTGGCTCTGAGGATTTTTAATCGCGTGGTGTTTTGTGCATATGTTCACCCCCGTTAACTATTAATTATTTACTAAATTAGTTGACAATTATTTTAATAGTTGAGTTGTCATGATTATTCCGATGAATCGTTTTGCCCTAGTAGAAATATTCTATAATATAATGCATGAAATATCTAGCATAAAGACTTCTAGGAACTAAAAACATAAAATTTATGACATCATACTTTCAGAATCTGTTCAGAATCCAGGAGCCTCTGTCCTCTGTAGTTTCCTACTTGTAACAGAGTGATTAACTTAGTGGGTAATAAAATATGTTATCTTGTGTAAGGCTGAAACAATTTGTAAGATTAATTATGATGTGTTAATTATTGAAACAACTGTCAACTAATTTAGGAATCAATTAATTGTTAACTAGGTCATACAAATGGTGAAAGAACAACAAACTCACAGGATTAATTAAGCCAAAACTGAATGGAAAGATATATCCATTTTGCATTTGAGCATAATAAAAAAATCTTTTCTTATGGGATTAATCGATAGAATAATAATTTTCTAAAATTATTGTTAGTTGCAGCCCTAATCACTTTGCATTGCCTTCTTGCTGAAAATATGCTATATAAATAACATTACCTTTACTTTTACCTTTAAGTAGCGGACGATTACTGATGTTAAATATTGAAAAGAAATTTTAAAGAAAGAAATCACATTCCAACATAGATGCTTTGCAAAGATCTACCCACTGACCCAGATGTTTACTTTTTATGGATTTCACAGAATAAAGGATCATGTTGTCTTTAACTTTTTGGTTCTTCCAGAATCCTCACTCTTTCATTTATCCAGGCGACCACAGTGGAGGACATGGAGGCTCGGCTGGACTGTGGTTTAGTCAAAGGCCACGCCTATGCCGTGACAGATGTTCGGAAGGTGCGTCTCGGACACGGACTGCTGGCCTTCTTCAAATCGGAGAAGCTGCACATGATCCGCATGAGGAACCCCTGGGGGGAGAAGGAGTGGAGCGGCCCGTGGAGTGACAGGTAAACACAATGATGCAAATGTTTTATTTTCAAACCTCATGAAGCTGCTGATATCCATCATAATTTTGATGTAACTGAATTGTCTGTGTTTGTTAAAGGAGGAGAAACAATGAATATATATATATATATATATATATATATATATATATATATATATATATATATATATATATATATATAATATATGACCTTGTTGTGCAACGGTCTAAACATTTTATCTGAATTAATTTCCAAAAGTGATCTCACTTCCTCTGAGTCTGACTTTGACATGCTAATTTCTAAGAGACTGCATGAAAAGAATAAGCAAATCTCAGATGACTGGACAGAGATCAACCCATAAATAATGCACACATTGTAGACAAGAGAGCAACACAGTGAGAAATGTCACGCAGACACTGAAAAATGGAAATGCAATCAAGCTAATGGGCCTCCCAGTAAACAACAGGGAGTGAATTCAGCCCTTTCAGGCGGCTGGTTTCTGGATTTCTGCTTCACTCGTCCATCTCTGCTCCACTGAGGAACAGATAACACTCACATAAAGGTCCTCCCTCTACAGAAACCAAGCAGGAAGGTGGTAAGTCTGGGTAATAATGAATATGAATTATTGATGGGGGTGAAAGAAACAGATGTCATTAAGGAAACGTGAATCATCTCATTCACTGACTGTCGCTGAATTATTTAGCTGAGGTTTGATCAAACCTGTTGCTGAGTGGAAGCTGGAAGGCTTTTATGAGGAAGCAGTCGATCATAAACAGAGACACTTAGAGAAGTTATAATGAATCCCCAGAGCTGTGAACACACAACAGACATTAAGGTTTAGCTTAGAGCTAAGCAAACTGAAGCAGTGCATTGTGTCGTGTGAATGATTCACTGTATTTATTTATTTTAAATTGTGATTATTAGTAAGAGTATAAATAGCTGTAGTAGTAGGAGCATTCTATTTCATCATGTGTGACATTAGTAGCAGACATGGTAGTTGTAGCAGACATCTACATCTGCTAATTTGTCTGAAAAAGAGAGTAACTTTTTCACATTTAATAATGAAAATGTTCTGTCCCATTTAATTTGAACCTTTTTGTAATGTTTGGAAAAAACACAAACAAGGAGTCGGCAAAAAACTCTATGCACTTTATAAATATTACTACTTTGTATTAAAACAAGTCAGATAAGGTAAAATGTTACTTTTTAATTTATTTTGAGTTTCTTTTAATGTACAGCTTTGAAAGAAGAAAAACGTGTTTTAATATTTGCGACAGACTGTGTGTGAAATACAAAAATGGAGGTTTATGTGTTCCTGCTGATTTCAGCTCTGAGGAGTGGAACAAGGTGAGCAAGAGTGAGAGAGAAAAGCTGGGTGTCACCGTGCAGGATGACGGCGAGTTCTGGTGAGACCCAGAATATTTCTAACACTTTGTACCAACATCATTATCTCGGGTTAAACTGATGATGCTGCAACACAATACTGCTAATAGTACTACTATTAAATAGAAAATATTTTAATATTGCTAGGTGTAATGCAGAGAGAATTTAAGATTTCCTGGCCAGCATCAAATAAATAAAATTTAAAATCAAATAATAGTGATGATGTTAAATTGATACTGTTGAAAATGATAAATATTCATATATATTACACTGCAGAACCAAATAAGCTTCAAAAGTTCTTATTTTTTGCATTTTTAGATGCACTATTTGGTACATTAGTTACTGTACTGCCAATTTAGATTTTCATATGAACCATAATTCACTCCCAAAAAAAGTTATAATTTGTGTATTTTTATTTATGGTTGACAATATGGTGAAAACTTATTCCAACTTAACAATAACTGCAGCATATCTTTTGTTTGTAATTCAGGCTTTCGATTGTGAAAAAATAATCTTAATCACAGTTAATTCATGTCTGAACAAGGGAATTAATTGCAATTTTAAGTAGAACACAGTTGGTCTGGATGGATTTTTTGTTTGACAAATTAAATCTATAAGGAAAGCTTTTTTTTTTAACTTAGTTTATCATTGTCTGATATTTGTTTGATGAGCCACAGCAGTTAGGCTGGAAGGCTCGTTGTAACCTGTTAACATTCCTCTTTGCTCTGATTTCCTTTCATTTTGAACCCATTTAAGAACTTCCTCTTTTCCTCCAGCCAGTTTCGACTCTCTCTGGTCTATCTTCTCCTCTTTGCCTGTCCTTCTGCAGGATGAACTTTGATGACTTCTGCCAGTATTTCACTGACCTGATCCTCTGCCGCCTCATCAATACCTCCTACCTGAGTATTCACAAGACCTGGGAGGAGGAGGTGATGAGGGGCTCCTGGATCCATCGCCAGGACCCTCTTCGGAACCGGTCTGGAGGCTGCATCAACCACAAGACCACCTTCCTGCAGAACCCTCAGGTCAGTCAGCAGCAATGTTGGTCAAGTTACTCATAAATAGAGCTGCACTATATGGCTGCAAAACACATCATGATATAAGGGGTTTATATCAGTTGACATGATAATTATTGATCAGTTTTTTGTTTTAAATATTAGAAATGCTGTCAACCGGTGGTGCCAAACTTCCCTTTTTCAACCAGTTTTTTTCTCCACGTTGCTGATTTTTATGTTTAAGCGGTTATGAGGCACGGTGGCAAAACATGAAACTGCTGCTGTGCAATTTACTCAACAGGTTGTTATTCATTTATTATGTCCAGTCTTACTTGTATATAGTAATTAGTTGCTAATTACTGATTAATTTCCCAAGACAGTTATCCATTTACTTTTCTGATTACTTATTTTCAAAAATATTGTTTCTATTACTTTACTTAGTTGCTTAGTTTAAAAGAAATGCACAACCTGAATGCACTCTGAACGATACAGGTTTAGGCTTTCTGCCTAATTAACTTATTAATTTAAATTGCATTAAAATGTAACTTAATCTTAATTGATTTAAAATTAAACTTAATTGTAATTACTTTTAAATTAAGTTAAATTTTAACTTTGTTTTTATTTATTTTTAACAACAATGACATTTTTGCCTAGTCTTACAGCAATATACAGTCCACAGTATAAGCTGACAAAAACAAAATAGCAATAATATTCAATCAAGTTTCAATCATTCAAGTTATAGAACATTTCAGCAACAAGGCAGTTCAAAGTGCTTTACATCATAAAAACATCATAAACACATCATGCAGTCACCAATTGTAAATTCAGTTATAAACATAACATTTTGTCAAATGCCATCATCAAAATTACAAATCAAATATGTTGATTAATGTTCAATTTATTATGGTTTTAAAGCAGCTCTGAACTGGTGGGTTTTAGTTTTAGTGTTTCAGCAGTTTTGCAGTTTTCTGGAAGTTTGTTTCAGATTTGAGGTGCATAGAAGCTGACCTCATCACTGACCACCAGCTGTAGAGGGCAATAACAGATTCTTGTTTTTTCCTACCAGTATGTGTTTGACGTGAAGAAGGTGGAGGATGAGGTGCTGATCTGCTTGCAGCAAAAAGAGAAGAGAGCCACACCCAAAGAAGGCAAAGGGGAAAATCTTGCTATCGGTTTTGATATTCACAGGGTAAGAACACCAAAAAAAGAAAGAAAAAAAAAACAATAAAAGCATGATTGCTTCTATTTCTAACTTCTGCGAAAACATCTTGTCAATCTACAGGTGGAACTGAATCGAAAGTACCGTATGCACACAGCCCAGCAGAAAGTAGCCGGTTCCATTTACATCAACTCGCGCTGCGTCTTCCTCAGGAAGGAGCTAAAGGAAGGACGATATGTCATCATCCCCACCACCTTTGACCCCGGGCAGCAGGGAGAATTTCTGCTCCGGGTCTTCACTGATGTGCCTTCAGATTGCAAGTAATTATGAGGGGCAACCAAGAAAGTTTGTAATACAACCTCTTTAAGACATTATAAAGACAGTTTGATCTTTCCCAGGTTCTATGGTCATTTAAATCTTAACTTTTAAATCTCTACAAAAAAACTAACTCATTATAAATGCAGAAATAATGAGCTTATCAGTTTTGTTTCTAACATTATAAACATTGTATCCTCAAACTTTCTGTTTGTGTTCAAAATGAATAGAAAGTGCTTGTTGCTTCATTGGAAAGCAGCAGCAGAAAATCCTTCAGGGTGAAACATCTCAGTGTTTCTGTAAACTCTTTGTCTGCAGAGAGCTGACTCTGGACGATCCTCCTCAGACCTGTTGGACAGGGATGTGTGGCTACCCTCAGCTGGTCACTCAGGTCCATGTAGTGAGTGCTGAGGGGCTCCAGGGGCAGGACACCAACGGAGGTAAACAACAGCTGTAGTCTGAGTGGGGGCCTCCAGAGGGCGCTGTGGAAAACGCAGAAAGTTAGAGGGAAAATCAGGAAAAGAAATGCAAAAATAAAAAAATATTATCCCATAAATTTTTTTATGTTAAATTTGTTTTCTGTGGGTTTTTTTTTTAATGAAAATAAGTTAAAATAAATCATATGAACATTATTTCTGATACAAATTGTTGTGATTGGCTGCCAGTCATATTCAATAAGCTGCTTTGCTCCTTAAGCTAGCATCGCCAGCAAGAAATCTAAAACATTCTGACAAGAAAAAAAATTTAGAGAAAATAAAATTTTATGGAATTAATCTAAAATATTGCATATTTTCTTATCAAAAGAGAGGAGATTGTAATGAAAAATTGTGTTATTTCATGATAAAGTCGTAATATATTATCTGATAGTAAAATTTTCTGCCACAGATCTCATGGCCATCTAACAGTTGATGTTTCTTTACATATTTTGTAGCATTGTGTGTCGATTAGCAAAGGGCATCCCCAGCAAGAGGTTAATGCTCTTTGGGGGATCGTGGCCTGGAAATATTTGGGAACCCCTGAACAAAGCTACAGTGTTTAGGATGAAACACAAGGTACCGCAGCGCCTCCTGGCTGCCATTTCTCATACTTTTTTTTTTATTGATTTCATTTTAGCAGAAGCTTTGTTAAGCCTTTTAATCGAAGCCTTCTTCATTATTAAAATCTGCAGTTTACTTAAAGCAGTTAAAGAGCTTTATTTACAAAAAGTGCTTCATAGAAAAAGCAAGTCCATCCAGTCAGTTACATATGGCCTAACTTGTGAACAAAATCCATAGTAACAACAAATACAGATAAATAATTGTCAAGTCATATCTGAACCGTTTTAATTTGGCGTTGTCAGTGTATTTTTTTTTTTTGACTATCAAATCAAACTTTTATCTGTATCCAAATATTTACGCAATTTTCTGCCTTTTTTTCTTGCAGCTGTGGATTCTTACGTGATAATCACCTGTGAAGGAGAGAGGGTTCGTTCACCAGTTCAGAAAGACACACGTTGCCCAAACTTTGACATCAAAGGCCTGTTTTATCGCAAAAAGCCCAAGGAAGCCATCCATGTCGAGGTGAGCGGTCACTGCTGATTCAGCATCCCAGGCTGGTTTAGAATAAAGCTGCAGGTCGGTCCGCTTGTCTGCGGCAGCCGCGAGCAGTTCAAGGCCTAAACACTAAATATTCAACTGTTTCAAAAATACTGATCCTGCTGTTCCAAAAAACAGCAGGATCAGTAACAACCGAAAGTACTTTCGGTTGTTATAAAAATCGGTTGTCAAAAAAAAAAATAACATGATCTGAAAGGTTTAATATTTACCAAAGAAGACATTGTTGATTTAACCATTTACTAACAGCCTAATAGGGAACAAGAGCTGGGTCATATGGAGAAAAAAAATTATAAACAATTTTGACATTTATCCCATGATAGCATATCTTTGAATATAAACTGAAAAAGACATTAAAATAAATTTTAACTCTGAAATGTTGCTTTGGGGATATTTGTTGCCTCTAATCTGATGTCTTGCTGATGGCAGCGATTTGGACAGGTGCTTGATGTTTTTTTTTCTTGTACATTACAACTTAAATCGGTTGAGTTTATTAAAAGGGACAGCATTGTGTATTTTCTAGTGTAATTTTACTGCACAATCAATTATCACTAGTACTTTCGGTGGTTATAAAAATTGTGTAAAAATCAGATAGTTTGGGCCTCTTTAAGCCTCTGCTCTTTTTGACACTGCCTTCAGCACGTCATAACAACAATGCTCAGTGGTTGTAAACAACATAACGGAGGATTGAACTGAATACTCGTTCACATGACAAGCTCAGCAGATCCACCACCTATTTGCTAATTACTGCTGACTAGTCTGAAGGAGCTAAGTGGAGGAGTCGCCTTAACATTCACATGTGAACCTCCAATTAAATCAATGTCTCAGTTAACCTATCAGAAGCATTTGAAGCTTCTGATAGGAGATGCCATCAGGTGATGATGATGTCATCTGAGATTTCCCTCATTGTTAGGTAGATAGTAATAATTCTGTATGTAAAATGATATTGACATTAACAAATACTTTTCTGACATATTCCGGTTGTCATTATTATGGCATTTAAGTAATGAAAGTATGTGACTTCAGACAGAAAGAAAAAACATTTATATTTTTATTAGATACATGTATGCCTCTGGTTTCAACTGTATGTGCTAGTCGGCTTGTCACAATAATGAATTGTGCTGCAAATTGTTCCAGAAGTTAGTGCAATACACAATAATATTGCTGTTATGAGCCCATTTTCAAATAATGCCAGTTCACATTCTCAAGGATCAAAAAACTTTCATTTCTAACGAACATTAAACACTCAAACTGGAAGACATTTTAAATATTGTCATGCAGTCTTTGGTAGAAAAGAGTGAGAAGCTTTTAGGCTATAACATAAAGTACCAAAAAAATATTTTGTTTGTAACATAATCAAATTTTAAAAATTCTGGGTCTACGCCTTCATTTGCACATCTCTATAGCTCTCTTTCTTCTTCTTACATTTCTTTTCTATCTGCTGTTTCCTTCTCTCTTTTCTCTCTTCTTACCCTTTTCTGTTTCCCACCTTTCTCTTCGCTTCCCATGAGTGGCGCTCAGATCTACAACAAGAACATGATCATGGACACCTTCCTGGGACAGGTGGTCCTGTTCAGTGAGCCCAATGAGCGGCAGGAGCAGCACACGCTTCACCTCCGTGACAAGGGCAGTCGCCAGGACAACGACATCCCGGGCATGCTCACTGTGCGCCTCTTCACCTCCACCACACTCACCAACATCTGACAAGCTCTTTACCGAATCTGGGGAGGCTCACCCATCTTTCTCAGCTCACTGTCCTTCACTCTGTTTTCCTACTTTTTCTTTTTGGGGAGTTTTTCAAAATACCTGCATCCATACGTGTAGGTAAAAGGTGCCATAAGGGATATGTTTTAACAAATTTCTGCTAGAATAGAATGGATAATGTTATTTGTTTCATAATATTATTTGAAACCGGGCCACTCTACAAGTCCGGAAAGCTTCAGTTAAGGGGGACCTATTATGCAGAATTCAAATTTTGCACATTTTTCTCCTTCCATTTGGGTCTCAACTGTTTCTAAAAACAGCCCAAACGCTTTAAAAAACTTTTTTGGGAGATAAATTTATGAATTTCAAAAACCTCCCAATTGTTAAGTCACATTTTACAGGCACTGCGCCATTACTTAGCAACACCACCCAGGCCCAGCTCTGTTACCTAGCAGCCCAACTCCAGCATGTTTGGTCAGCTGGGTTTAACACTGCTGGAAAAGACAAGTGTATTCTTGTTGACTTTTAACTCCACGATCTATTTATCAGCTAATTTGCTCATGTGCTAAAAGAAATACTTCCAACAAAGGTATGTTTGCTTCTTTTTTTCTTTTGGTAATCATTGTAATTGTAAATATTGAATTGAATTAAATTCAGAAAGCTTTATTGATCCCACAGGGAAATGAAATGCTAGTGTAACTTCAAAGAGTTATTGTAGATGTTATATATAAATATATACATAGTAATAAAAATATATTTAGTTATTATAAACTATAATAAATAGTGCATGTTTCAAAGAGAATAACCAAAAATAAGAATAAAAACAGTATTACTGGATTTTGAAAGACTATTTTCTAAAATACAACCTTCCAGTAAATGTATGTACCTGTGAATCAAACGTGAAAACGATAGAGTACTATTGGGATATAGTCTTGTACAATTGATAACACCTTTAGCTAATCTCATAAAAGATATGATTGTTATGAAAGTAAAGGTCCTTTTTTTGTCCAGGTTAAATATCTCACAGTTCCTTCAGTCCTATTACATTTTTAAATTGAATAATAATCTATGAACCAAATTATAAAATGTATTATTCATTAAGAGAATTATAACATAGTCCAGGAAAATAGCATATGTAGTTTTTTAGTTAATACAAATGAATATGTAAATGTATATTTTGAGAATGATCCAGAAGTATTTTCTTTAGTGCATGCGCAAGTTAGCCAGCGGTACGGATTGTGTTTCCAGAATAGACTGTGCAGTGGCAACACATTTATGTTGGTTGCGCGGAAGGACCCTCTTCTGCTTTTCAAAGATATACAGTTGTATAATTGTGCATGGCCTCCTCTCCCCCTTCCTGTCATTTAAAGTCACAACAGGCCCTAAAACATCTGAACTGACCAGACTAAAATATCATTATCTAAGAATGATTTAGTGCAAAAACTGTAACGAACATGTTTTGTACAGCCCATAGACCACTAGAGCTATTGTTGAGCAAAAAAAAAAAAAAATCCCATAAAACAAATTTTAGCATTTTTAATTTATTGAATTTTATGGTCCTCCAGTAGTTTAAATCTGCCAGTTTTGGTCACCACCTGTCATAGACCTAACCTGTTCAAGGAAGCATAATAGGTCACCTTTATATGAACTGTCCAAAATTATTTGCTACAAACTGAGTTTGCCCTCGTCATACAGTACATTATGCACACATTTCTGCACTCTCCATGCATGTGCCAATCTTTCCAAGGGCTCTGCAATGCCTTAAGGCTGAGTCGGTTTCTCCTGTTTCAGGAGATGGGGGAGGAGTTCTGTGAAAACTGTTTTCAGTGTTAGCACCGTCTGATCTACAGCCTTCTGTCCCCCCTTCCTGTCAGAGCTCAATCCTCCTGCCTAGACGCCTCAGCACCTCGTCAGGTTGCAGCTGCTTCAGAGAGCATCCAGTCTGAACTTTACAAAGAAAAGCCAACAGCAGCTATTTCCTCCCTCTACCTGGAGCTTTCTTTTCCTGCGCTTACGTGTAAAGTCTTCGCCTCCCCTGTCCCCCGTCACTTCTAAACTCGCTGCCGGTTGCTCTGGACGATCTGCAAACTGCATGGCTTGAAAATGTTTCTGCCTGTGCTGCACATTTATCCAGTCGTAGCTTAGCAACCGGGGCTCCTGATCGTTTACCCTGTTTTCCCCAACGTTGGAGTGCAAAGATTCAGCTTGACATAAACCAAGTGCTTTATGGGACCAAAGATGAGCTGGGCCCTTCGCTCTCTAATGTCCCGTTCAGAACCTTCTGGCCTAGCCACAAACCACCACCCCGTGTGCCACTTCATCTCTTAATGGCAACACCACTGCCTGATGCTTCCGATGACGAGAGCCTGACGACAGTGAAAAGACTCGCCGAAGACAGTGGCCGGGCTTCTGAGAAGACACCAGCTGCGTTTCCATTGATCATAAATTAGCTTAAAGCTGCAATACGTAACAAACTCCCATTGTTGGTCATGTGACTTGTGTGTTGCGTGTTTCCATTGCAGTTTTGTGAAATAAACAAATTTCTGTATAGCCAAAAACCACTTCAAACTTTCCATCAAAAAACAAGTTTTTTCAGAACTGGCATGTATCCTGCTGCAGTATGTAACTTTTAAAAAATGATGTTTTTTCATATTTATTCATACTATCATCTAGTGACAATATAGATCAATTTCTTTCACCTCCTTCCTGAGCTACTATTGCTGTCTGAAGAAATGCAGGGCTCCAGACTAAAAACAACCAAGCAGAGCCAGGAGGATCTTAGTGCTGTCAATCAAGCTCATGTACTCCTTGAGGGTGATTGACAGTGTTAACTCCCACCTCTTGGCTCTGATTAGCTGCTTCTGGTTAGCACTAGTAGAAGGTAGAGAAGCTGTATTTTTTTTTTTTTTTTTTCAGATTATCCATCTCATACCATACAGTCACAACATAGCGACAGATTCAACAAATGTGCAAAAAATATATTTTTAATAAAAGTTACATACCGCAGGAGAAAACAACAATTTAAAAGATAAAACAAACCTGTTTTTCCACTAAGATGAGGTGGTATTTCAGTCATAAAATTGCAAAGGAAACACTTCTTTCACATCACATGATCAACAACCGGATGTTGCCACTGGTGCAAACCACTAAGTAGGCGACAGGAAGTAGTTGGATGATCATTGCGTGGCATGTTTTTTAATGACTTATCGCGCGAACAAACTTCTTCACGTGAGATTCTTAATTATGTTTCTTATTTGATTTCCAAAAACACAATTATGAAATTGTGTTTGTGTCAAAATTAGTGGAATATCGTCAAAGTTTGTGGTTGGAAACGCAGCTTGTGTGTTTGTCTCGGTTCCTGCCGCTTTACTTCAGATGAGGGTGAGTGCAGATCTGTTGATCCTGTTTGTATCTGGAAGAAACATTTCTGTGGGGAGGTGTGAGCAGAACATCTTGCACTTTAATTAACGTCAAATTCAAAGAAACTGGAAGTTTTTTATCAGCGGAGACGTTTCTGCCAATCAGCTTGTGCCATTGTCTCGGTCTCGGCAGGATGGATGAACGTATTTCTCTCTTGTTAACCATGACTCTTCCTGCATCGGTCATGTGGCCACACGCTGTGAGCTTTTCGCTCCTGATGAACTTTGTTTTGGTTTTGTTGACTCAAAAGTGCAGTTGTGAGTTTTATGCACTGCTGGATTTTATTTCATTTGTTGTTAGAAGTTAGGATTTAAACTGTAATCTATCATCAATGCATTTCCTTTGAATGTAAGGCTAGTCTCTTGTGAGAAACTATCACATCAGTTTTTCTGTTCTGTTTTATCACTGCAGTGGTCACACAAGGCGTTATTTAAACTGGTCACTCCAGTTATTGTCAGGGTTCCTGCACAGTGTGGAAAAGTCTGGAAAGGTCTAGAAAAGTCTGGAATCCAAGGTTTTCCTGGTTTGAAAGGGAAAATTAGAGAATATTTGCATTTATAAAACTTTGTTCCCAGTTTGTTCGCAGTACCTTCCTTCTTTTTTTTTCCTTCCTTCCTTCTTATCTTTCTTCATTTCTTCCTTTCTCCCTTCCCCACTCAGTTTTTTTTTTGATATTTACAGCCCACAGTATAAATATCATAAGTTCCTGCTGAATCTTAATATTATAAACGGTCTGAGATTTTTGCAAGTTTGAACTTGCTACAGTATTTTAGATTTTCCATGTGAAGGAACCCTGTTTTGTGTACAGCATCCCTATGAACGTGTCGTGCATGACTTATTTTCCAATATGTTCATGGCCTTGTACGGTACTGCTCAACTGTTACGATATCTATTTATTCTTTCTATCTGGATCGTCATGGAAACGCTCGCTTTTGAGGAGTCAGCATGTCGACACCCAATGACCCTCGTCCGGTTCGGATCACATGGAAGGCTGTGAAGCAGCAGCTATGTCTTATTACAGTTATGCATTCATAAAGCCTCTAGCTTTTGAACATTAGCAGCAGCTGCTGACCTCTCTCTAGGTGCTACTTCTCTTCGCTGTGCTCCTTATTGTTTTCAGTTGGACAGAAAGTGGAAGCTGCTCCGGTTCCAGTAGAACCAAACGCTGTATGATTTGTTTGGATTTCATTCACAAAGACGAGGATAAAACACAAAAACCCACCAAACCCATTCATAAAGTTCTGCTCAAGTTTCAGTGTATGAAGCAGCCTGAACTCACTGAACAGTGCGGCTGAAAAGGATTTGACCTCTTTCAGATTGTAGATGGTTTGAACATTGTTAGCATCTCCTTGTAAGCATAATACTGCATTGTCCTCAAAACCAACAGCTAATAACTTCCATAGGGATGGATGAAGAGTGTGTAGTGGCAAATCAGTTGTGCCAAATGTCAAATCGATCTTTATTCACAGAGTTTAGCATTTAATGCACAAAAATATGTTTATGGAGCAGAAACTGGTAAATTTTGTTCCTCTCAAGCTGCCAAGTTCTTCACTGGTAAAGCCAACCGGTCCTGAATAATATAAGCTGTTTTCTTACAGCTTTGTTTTTATTTTCGAACAGAACATTATGTTAAGGTTGTCCTGAATGAGAATGGTTGTCAGGTGGCGACATAACTGGGTTAAAAAGTAACTGAAGATTCTTAAAATGCCTCAAATGTAAATGGTTGAAGTTTTGAAAATTAGGCAGCTGTACGTTCAGATTTCTGACTCAATCACAAATATGAAGGAAGCACAAATTAGGACGCCTTAAACATAACCCCATCTTCTCCCTATGGCTCCCCCTGTTTATGTTGTCTCTCTGTATTCAGCCCCCAAATCCCATAAAATCAGCCAGGTCTCGTTTGGCTGAGCATTTAATTAGGTACATTAATTTGTTTCACTGAGGTTAAAGCATCAAAATAAGCCAAAGACATAAAAATAAACCAGAGGCAGTGAACAAGTTGAGCTGGTCTGCAAACCAAGCTGGACTGTTTCTACTCTGTAAATCACAAAAATAAGAATACACCTTTGAATCTGTTTACTTTCAGAACATCTGATTAATCATCAATGAGTTATTTATAAGATTAAAAACTAATAATGAGCTTTTTTAAACCACTAACAGTGTTAATATTCCAGATTTGTGCTCAGGACGTTGCCACTCCATCCCTCACTAGTTTAATTTGATTAAATGTAAAGACTAACTACTGAAGGCAAAAGCAGTCTTGATTTTCTTGAGGTAACAGGTTTTTCCAGAGACTTTTAAGCAATATTACTCCAAAAGACAAACCACTTAAAAAGACAGATGATTTCCAGTTATATCAGATTCAATTTGGTCAAAATTCAGTTTAAATCAATTCAGAAAATTTCTTTAAATGGAGTCCAATTCAGTCCAAATTTTAAAAAGCAATCATCAAAAATGTAGTTGATCATAAGTTTTATTGCCAACAGGCAAGCATGGGGTGACAGTGGATACGAAAAACTGTCTGGCTGGTTGCTGAGAGGACAGAAAAACAAAACGGAAAAATCAGAAAGTACACTGGACCAGGTGTACTTTCTATATGGAAATAAAAAAGGTTCAAAGGCAGCAATAGCTCCAATAATTGGTCTGGTCAGAAGCAAAAGAGAAGTTAGCCAGGTGTACCTTCCGATGGGAAGAAAATGTAAGAAAGAGAAGAGCTTCAAAGTGTGTAAAATATGTTTTCACTACTTAATAAGCCTTGTTATATTGGGATAATGACACAAATATCAGCTCATCTTCTGACAATGCCATGAAAATACATTTCTAAGCCTTTATGCTCTCTCTCCTTCTGTAGCAACTAGGGGTGCACCAATTGCACTTTTCTGGCCAATCAACAATCTTTATAAAGCCTGACCTGCCCATTTCTATTTTTTTGTTTGAAAAATTGGTAAATATAGCGTCAAAGTCGCTAAGTCTATGACTGTTGTTAACACTTTAAGGAGACAGAAGCTAATTTTGAGAATGATAAGATCAGTTTTTCATCTCCCAAAGTGAAGGAAGTTGTGGCTGATTTATTGGTGCACCCCTAGTAGAAACCACAGTCATCATAAGAGTACCTTTAGGCATATTTCTTTAAAATCATGTGCCACAGCAGTGCCAAAAAGACCAGTGGCTTGTTACGTTACGCTGCGTTGTGTCTTATGAACTGTGAGTTAAAAAATTTTTGGAACAAAAATGTTTATCAAATGTTTTGCTCTCCATTGTATCCTGCTTTGTTTATTCACTGCAATGCTTCTTTATCATTGTTGCATAATGTGAACTTTTTTGCCAAAAGTGTTATGGCTTTCACTGTTAACCACACACACGCACACACACAAACCGTCCAGCTACTAACCAAGCTCGACCGGAGTGTCTGGACCTTGAGTGTGTTTTTTGATAGTTGCTATATTGCTTCAGTCTTCTGCATATATAAGCATTTTCTGCATGGTCACTCCAAGACAGGTTTTTAAAGGAAGCCCAAATTTTCTGAACGGTGGTGACTTTTATATGAATCAAAAAGCGGCCATGCATGTAGCAAAAACAAAAGAAAAAAGACAAAGAAAACGCTTTCAGATCTCCTTGTTTCATCTCGAATCACAGGAATGAAGATTTTCCTTCAGACAGTTGGCAAACATTATTCGCTGTTGCTACTTTGATAAACATGCTGTGTGTAATTAAAGGCCTTCGTTGCACACTTGCATGCATTGAGACAGTATCCAGTTTTTTAATATTTTGTATGCAGTAATCTGCATTTTGCAGTATGTATATAAAAGTAGCAGCAACTCAGTCTATAGGTGGTTTGATCCTTGTTCTGATGCACACTAATATCAGTTCTTTATAGTTACAAGTGAATCATCCACTGTTTGTGCTAGTTAATGTGAATTATTAGGGCCACAAATTTTGGCATTTCTTCCACTGAACTGGATGCAGATTTTTTTCCTTTTTAATGGAGATTGGAGCAAAATTATTAGTGTGACGTTTTACCTGTTGCACCTTTTTGGAAAGTAATGCTAATTAACTTTTTTTAAAATAGATAAAAATGTAACATCTGTCAATCTTGCCTTGATATGTGATGAAATGGCGACTAGTTGAACTCACTTCCAGGCTTCTGGAGTTGAAATGGGTTTGGTCTGGTGACTCTGTTATCCCACATGTGACATGTGATGGTTTCAGTGGCTTACATTTTGTGAAGGTACCAGATAGAAAATACTCTTAAGGTTGATTCAGTCAAGTATCTTTTATCAGTATTTCATCAGCTGTGAATTTGGACTTAAATGCAACCAGTCCATCAAAACAGATGGCATGATGATCTTAACACATACAATTTAAAGAAACAATGATGACCTTTGCATTTCCTCCTATGAGGTAAATATGGAGCTACTTTACTCCTAAGGGACTAATTCTGCAGGGCTATGATGGCCATGAATCTGCAGATCAGTTCAGTGGAAGGAGGATTCAGAAATTCACACATTTTTATGATGAAAGCAGGAGAAATGTGATCAGTGAAACTGAAAATTACATCCGTAAGTTGACTTCTATCCGTTCTCAACTCTAGGATTGATGGATTTAACAACCACATCAGTTTGCCCAGTGCTGCATGTGATCAAGTAGATCAAAATATCAGAGAGAAAACATCTGGTTTCTCCTATGGACCGCATCCGATTCGATAAACTGAGATTTTTATAAAATATAAAACAAGCCTGACATTGAGTCTCGTCCACTTAAGGAATGAGCTTGTGAATTCTCTTGTATTTTTCTGCCAATGTTTGTTGACTGGAGCCTGGGAAACCTACTGCATGGTGACTCTTCTAGGAGATGCTACCGTCTTTGTATCGAGTATCTTTTATCAGTATTTTCTAAGCTTGTTAATTTTATATATCCACTTTAACTTGCGCTCCTGACTGATATGTTTACTGATAGCTATGTACCGGAGAGCCGTGCTATATGTTCTGTAACGTGAGCTTGTCAGTGCGTTACTTTCAGTGTGAGCTTTGCTTTTCTTTTTCTATTGCGTGTTAGCTGAATTTGGTTTTCGGTTACACTGTGGTTATTTTATAGCTACAATCTGAAATACTTTTTTTTCTTTTGTATTTTATGTCAACTTGTGGCATGACTTTGAAATAAAACTAGAAAACATATCCTGAATTTGTCGTTTTTGTGTGACAGCAAAACAAACTCCAAAATTCAGTAAAACATAAAAAGAAATCATCACACATTTGGTCAGAGCTCCGTAAATACTCCACAATACAGCCACAGTTGTTTTCTTCCTCTCACTTTCCTTCAAACTGTTTGCAGTTTCAATTGGGGCCGGTTCAAGACAGTTGCAACACTGCAAAAACATAAAATTTTACCAAGCATTTTTGGTCTCGTTTCTAGTGCGAATATCTTAGTACACTTGAAATAAGCCAAAACAAACTTACTTTTCAGTTATTTAAATAGTTACTTATACTCTTGATGAAAAACTCCTAGATCTACTGGCAGATTATTTCACTTGTACCGTGAGAAAAATGTTTTTTATAAACAAAAAAAATTCCCGATGGAAGAAGTACAAAAATAAATAACATAATTACAAAATAACAAATTTAAAGCATAAGAAACATTTCTAAATATATTTTAAATACATTTCTAACTAAGATCCCAAGTTAAATAAATTAGTGCTCTAAATCATTATTGATTTCAAGAACAACTTTATGTTTTTAAGCTTTTCATGGGTCCTCTTCATTGGTCGATATCACTAACAAGAGAGAACAGCAGTGTCTTGCTTGATTGAATGTTCCATGCTTCTTTAAAATAGAAGAATAGATCACTAAGATAATGTAAAAGGAACTTAATGTTAGTACTTTAGCATTGTGGAGAGGACAGATGTTAGCAGGTGAATATCTTAAAAATAAGTTCTTGATTTATCCATTTCTCAATGACATGCTATTAAATGTAGGAAATAGTAATTTCAGCGTGAAGCTGTCTTCATTGTTCAGGTCTATTTTTAACATGTTCTCTATTGATATATATTGGTAATTGAGCATTTTGTTGCACAGCTAAGACATTGTGACCTCCACCTCCTCCTCCACCAGACCAGTCTCTGTTTCTGCCACCAGCAGGCTCCACCTCCGAGCTAATAAGGATCAGCGGCCATGAATGAGACCCAGTACTGAGACTCCAGATATCTCCGCCGCTGACCCAGACATCACGCTGTAACTGGACCGCAAACTCTGCACCGCCTGCAGGAGCCTGGAGCCACAGCAACAGCGGCTTTCTGAGGGGAGGGAACTCTCAGAGAACAATTTTTTAAAAACTGCATACCAAGAGATTGGAGCAACACAAGTAAATTTAACTTCTGCTGTTTTTTTTTTGTTTAATAATAAACTGTGGAGCATTTACCAGAACCAGAACTGGAGGAAGGAGCAGAATCCTTACACAGATTGCAGTGAGGTAAGAGTGGCAGGTGAACATGGGTTAAGAATTAGTCTGCAGCCAGGCCGCAGTGCAGCCGCTCGCCTGTAGATTTAGACTAAAGCTTCTTATTGCTCGCTTTGTCCTGGGCCAGCACTTAAGCAGCCGTTATGTGCCTTTAAAGTAACAATCTGGAAAGTGGAACTGCTGTAAGTTATATCAAACAAATGAATGTTAGTTTGACACAGTTATCACACAGTGAAATATTGGACATGTTTTTGTAATTGTCAGTCAAATAATTAATCCAGTGAAACAAGAAGAAGCAGATGAAGCTTCTTTGAACAATAAACATTCTTTAAATTCAAACAAAGTTGGAATTAATGTTTTACAATATTTTTGACACCACGGTACTTTTAAAGGGAGCTGGTATGTCACCAAATGTTGCCAAGTTCTGCAGAGGCTAGATATTGACCCATTAATTTAAATCACATCTTGAATGAAGGAAAACTTATTATAAGGGATGTCAAACTCTTACAACTTTCAATTTTTTCCCTGAATCCAACATCCTTCAATCAGATAACTTATTACCAAGTTCCTTCAGAGTTGAATGCTGGTGAGGAGTTTCATTCATTTGATTAGATGTGTTGGAGCCATAATGCACGAGGACTGGACTTGGTCACCCTTCCCTTTATGAAATGGATAAACAGCATCCTTAGTATCTAATCAATTCCTTAAAAGTCTTTCTAATTAACCAAGTCTGAGTATTTGGCATGTTGAAGCAGAGAATTATCAAAAGGATAGACATTTTGGATACTGGTCCTCAACAGCTGGATCTGAACAACACCATGGTAGACATTTTGGATTCACTCGTATACATTTTTACTCCCCTTGGTGTGAGATTTTAGGGTGCATCCACATCAGCCCTGTTAAGTCCATGTTAATTGAACTCCAGTCTGTTTGTTTTGGACTGAAGATCCGGTTTGTTTGGAAAGATGTGAAGGTGAACCAAAAAAGTGAACTCTGCTCCCTCTACAAACCTTGGTCTCGATTCGGTTGAAGTGAACCCTGATGTAGTTACAATGAACATGTGAATGCCAAGCGGACCACAGACCGCTCCATATGCAGGAAGCAAACTACAGTGCAGAGCATTCTGGCTAAATACGACCAATGAGTATGGCGCTAGTGGGAGAAATGACTCGTTGTCTTTACAAAACCCAAACGAGATTTTCTATCACCACTAAAATTTGACACCACTCCTTTTTTGTTTACATTTTCTGAATAGGGAAGTTGTGTCTTTTTCAGAGGTTTGTGTGTCGTTTCCTTCAGTGGTTCTTGGTGCAGCGCCACCACATGCGAGAAGGTGAATAGGTTTTTCAAAGGGTTTGGTTGGTTTGATACAGTGCAGTGTGAAAGAGAACCACATCAAAATTGTAATAAATGTTGCAAATTTGGTCCCCAATCAAATCGAATCTACAATACTATCAGGGATGAAAAGAAACTTTGTCTTGAAGTTTTTGTAGGGCTGTGAATGTAACATGCTAATTTCAATCAATTAATTATGCAATTTTGTGTTACAAATTTTGTTACAACTAATTGTGTGTTTTTTTAACACACAAAAGTCCTAAGATGGAACCTATGTATGTGTGTGTTTCTACTATGCCCATAAATTTGACGCACAGGTGACATCCACAACAGCAATGACAAAGCTGTTTCTTTTGACCCACTGCGAGTTCATTTCTGCTTCAAAACATTATCTGATGAGATGTTGAAAAAGACTATTATTGTGTTCAAGTTGTGCTAAAAGGTGTTAGCCTCGTAGCCAAACTATTTCAGCCTAAAAAGCATCTCAGTGCTAAACATCACCACAGACGTCCCTAACACTAATGTCAACGTCCACAGCAAACATTTCTAGAAGCTCCATCAACGATCAGGCCTTCCTGAAACTTACAGACTCTGAAATTAATTTGATTAAAAACTTCTATTGTGTCCCAGTGCTAGTTTTTAGAAATATAACTGAATAAAAGATCCTGTTTAACACAGCTTACATCACCATGGTGAGTGGAGGTGCAGATGTAAAGCATGTAAGCCTCCTCAGAGGTCATGTAAAGCTCTTTAACCCTAAGAACTGCAGCTGTTCAAAATGTAATTAAGGTTAACTGCTTTGCTTAATGCTGGATCATTTTCCTGTTTATGTTTTGTAAAATTCAGATTTATTTGTGCATCAAAAAAAAAAGCACCTACATTTCTCAACTCGTCTCATATCCTTTCAGACACTGAACCTCGGCCATCTTGGTGGAGGTGAGTCTCCCAGAGGTTCTTGGCCGATGATGAAAGTGTCCCACCCAGCGGTGCCTCTGAATCCCTGCCATGTGAGTAATACCTGTGAAGCACACATACTTGTTAGAATAACAATGCAGACCACAGACAGATTAACAGCCAGGAGCTTTAACGAGCCTTTGTGTGTAAATCTTCCAGCAGGTTGACTTTGAGTCTTGTGAACTGTAAAGATTAACTAGTTTGTTTTAAAAACCTTAAGATTCTTTTTTTTTTTTTTACAGAAATCTGTAATAATGCATCTTCAGTCTAAGTATTAATTAGTAGAACAAACATTTAAAGCAGCAGCTGAATAATTGAGATTGAGCTCACTGTGGAATACTGGCCCCAGCTCAAGTGAAGCACACACACCTCCAAGCTACAGAGGCCTAATTGTGCAGCAGATTTACAGACTGTAGTTTAAATGTAAAATTGAAAAATTGTGAGGTTGTTTCGCAATGAAGAGTAGGAGGATTAAAAAGCAGCTTTATGATTTCTTTTAAGGCTACGTCCACCCAGTAATTTTTGATGTTCAATAACATTTTTTTGATGGAATCGAATTTTTTAGACGGTCATTCATGCTGTTAATAAAATCTGACTGCAGCCAGAGATCTGTGTGAATGGTTAACGACCCCAAAAGCAACCTGCATGCACAGAAAAATGAAGTAGACATCACACAGCTGTGACATGTTTAGGAGAGTAATGGTGGACACTGCCGTCTATGGATTAATTTTAAAGTTGTTGAGCCGTAGGAGCCCAGAGTATTGTTACAAGATCACAACAAGACAAAGAAAACTAAGAAAAAGTAATTCATCACAATAAAAAGAGTCCCTACCACAGTCATAATGTTTTGGCCCCACCCTGTGTTTCTTATTTATTGAGGTTTTGTGTCTGTGGTGAATCCTGAGGTTATCATCCTGGTTATTTCTGAATATTGTGAGACTAAATCACTCATCTAGAACTGCTTACGACCTTTTTAATTCAGGAGCAATGTGACATTTAATTTCAGATTTCTGATTTTTATTTAATCCCTGATTTTTATTTAATCCCTATGTCTGCTTTGATTTTGTTTGCTTTTAGTGATCAGTTTGGTTGTTTTCTAAAGGGGCGTTAACCTTCAGAAAAACCTGCATAAGAACTTTGAAAAGTATTTAACCTTCCCTCCAGTAATGTATCAGTCACATCCGTTCACCTCAAGGTTTGAGGATGTGGAAAATGCCTAGGGATATGAATATTTTGACTTAACTAAAGTGATAAATTTAGTACTTAGATGAAAAACGTAAACATAAAAGCTTCCAGGTTGATCTGGGTGTTCTGCATCTTGGCATTATCAGTTAATCTGGTAGATCCTTTCCTGTTGGATTGTAATTTGTCTAATTGAAGTTGTGGTTGAAGGTTAAAGGAGAATCAGATCCATATGTCTGTGTTGGAGACT